TTTGCTACAACAAATTGCACTGGCTTCGTTTCACCGATTATAAAAAACAACCTTTTAGCTATTTTCTCTATTCTCTATCAAGCCAGTCAGCAGTAAAAACCGAAAAGTGAACAGGAACACACGGTAGAAACTAGAAACCATCGAAATTTACATGGAAATTTGTAGTAAAATAGTTAACTAGTTGCTACAAAACCGATTATGAAGCTCAAACCGGTTCTAAAAAAAAACAAGTTACTGCCTTGTTGACAACAAACTGGCAGTAAATTATCGAAATTGATGATAATAGAGCCAAATAATACATACATATTTTTTTTTATATAGGATAAGGGTGACAAGCGAGCTCACAGTCCACCTGATGGTAAGTGGTTGCTGTGGCCTTTAGACATCTACATCTATCCTCGTATGCGAATCAAAATGCAGATGCGTTGTCAGCCGTGAGGACAAAGATGGTATGCCTCTTTTCCAGTAAAATGGGTCTCCGGTCCTCTACACTCACCATACGAAACATAGCAGAAGTAAGCCGCTATTTTACGCTGGTATTCAGTGAGAGCGTGGTCCTTCCCCGGACGAGCGGACCCAATCGTGCTACTATTATACAATTAATATAGCTGCAGCATGGCTCTACCACGTAGAATATACAACCAGAGTTAAAAATAAATCTTTTACTTTTATTACAATTTAATTTTTTTGTTTGGTACAATTTTATGCTAGCTTTTTGACCATCCTGATGTCATTTCTGATCACCAGCAAAATCTGTCACTGCATCTTGTCTAAAAACTGCATGTTACGGTAGCAAGCAAACTGGTACTTAGATATTCATATCATTTGCCACATCATAAAGATTTTTTGTTTCATTGGATCTAAAACATGGTCCTTCACACTGACAACGCATCTAAATTTAGATTATTGAAAAAAAAAGAGATGCAGGTCTCATGCAATGCCTAGAGTTACAGAATAGATTTATCATTGAGTGGACTGTATGCTCATTTGCCATATTGAGTACCTACATAGTTTAAAAAAGAATTATACCGCCATATATTGTTTGTCTAAGCCGTGTTCGTTGATTTACAAGTTGCAAGGCCTGTGTGCAAGACCGAAACGCGTGCTGGAAAGATTGGCATCTGGAGAGACAGAGATCTAAAACCACAATTTTAGCTATTTTGAGATCATGAGTAAAACTAATTTTACGTAATATAACGCGATTAATTTTTGAATTATTGACGTTTCGTGTGAATTTTCATTTTTTGAGTTAAATAGGTATATATTTATATTGACGGAAAACCATAGAATACTACATGAAATACTATATGTATTACCATAGAATGCTATAGTGTTCTATGTGGAAAACGCTAAATACGAATAAACTTCTTTAACATGAATTTTGTATATCATCGATCTTTACTTTATAGGTCCTATTTGTATATGTTTAAGGTGTTAAAGTTTTTGAAATTGTAGAGTAAAATAAAGCATACTGTAACTCTCTTTACTGTGATTATATTTAGTAATCGAGCAAATCATATTTGGCTAGAAAATTTGTATAGCAATTATATTTGATTGAGCGTGTAGTGGCGATGTAATATCATCACGTTGGTGTCGTAAGAGGAGACAGGAGAAAACGAATCATGAGGTGGACTGTAGTTTTCCTAATAACGACTAAATATAAAAATTGCGGTTGCCGACTCACACGTCAAGCGTGGCAACCATAGGGCAGGCAACTATGTCAAATATCCGTTAGGTAATATATTATGGTCACGTGAATATTGGAGACGCTGTAATGGTAACGGATAATTATATTTGATTAGAATTTAATTTGTAATTTTGCAGCTAGTTTAAATTACGTGCTCTTTAATTACACTGTGTTATATTGTCACAAATTAAATACAATAAATCAAAACGGTGTATTTCTTAAAGGGTGTCAAGCGAGCACACACTAAGTGGATGTTGGGGCCAATAGGTGTCTACATCTATTCTCGATTACGAATCAAAATGCAGATGTGTTGGCACCCCCTGAGGACTAACCTGGAATGCCTCGTCTCAAGTAGACTACGCTCTCATAGAACACCAGCGTAAAATAGCAGGTTAACTGCTGTGTTTCGTATTGTAAGTGTGTAGAACTGGAGACCGTTTTTACTGGAAACGAGGCATTCTATCTTAGTCCTCACGGGTGACCTGCATTTTGATTCGCAAACGAGGATAGATGTAGATGTCTATGGGCCACAACAACCACTTATCATCAGGTGGACTATGCGCTCATTTGTCACCCTTATCCTTAAAAAATACAGCAACAATAATCTTCTATTTTACGCTGGTATTCTGTGAGAGCGTGGTCCACGGTCGAGCCCACCCATTTATACACGACATAAAATGCAAGAAAAATGGAATGAAATAAAACACCACTGTTTTACAATTCGAATTTTATTAAACACATTAAAACCTAAATCTGTTTCAAGCAAATGTAGTTGATTCCAATCAATTTTCAGATATTGGTACGGTCATTAATGTTGCAGCGCGTTAATTTTTTCTGCAACTAAAAATTAATAAAGTCTTTAAAAATTGGATTATTAAAACCAATGTTCATATTCGTTAGACAATAATAATTTACCTTATGGGTATAAAATTTCATCAAGGCGATAAAAGGGAACTAAAACAAGACATAGGCAGCTTCTTCCTGATAACAGCTCTGAATTACAAAAAAACTGTGGTTAACAGATCGCCTGCCAAGGGTAACTGTGGCAAATATCACCCTATGAGGCAATCTATGGGAAAGCCTATGTGCAGCAGTAGACTTTGGGTATGCTGTAATAAAAAATTTATGAAAAAAAGTTTTAACATTTAATTTAAATTTTATTGAATTAGTATAATTTTAACGAATAAATATTTATTCAATAAAATGTTAAAATGATGAAAATATATCCAGGATATCTGCCGCCAAAAGTACTTACACTAACGGCTGCTATGGTTTTAGGCATAAAAGAGTCAGTTACAGACTGTGGGGCATTTCATCTGAGCACTCTGGAGTATAGAGTAACAACAGATCTGCTGCCATATTTGCTTGACGTTGGTTGCAAGTGTAACTATCTGGTGCACTGGCAGTTCTTTTAACATTGATATCATTATTATTGTAATAAAGATATTTTTTCGGAAGCTTTCTTTCATATGTACACTTGTGTTAGTGTGCATCTCAAAATATAACTGCATTTTAATTACTAGTTTCACCTATCGTCAAAATGTAATGAAAACGTTAACACTAAGAACTATTCTTTCAAACGTGGCATTATGAGACAAGGTACACATTAAAAATGAATGATCCTTACTGAGAATTTAGCTTTACCCTAATGAAACGCATCAGTCTTACAAAATAGATTATAATTATTACTGAAAGGTCATATATGATAGAAACAAAATAGAAGGAGTGTTTTTAAAGTACAATCTATCAAAGCAGCACAACGTATTGTATGTACTGTGTACAAAAAGAAAAAAGAGAATAGATGAATGTAGGGAGTTGTTAGAGGTAGGTTTTTCACAAACATTGTAAATGAACCAAGCATGCTTTCAATTGCCTTGCGTAATATACAATACTTTTAATTTTAATTAAATTATGCTTCTCGGGTTTTTAACTGTCTCGTAAAAACAAATCAATTTATATTTAAAAAAAAAACTCCTTAATTATTAACATTATGAAATCGTCCCTCAATATTAAATATTCGTAAAAAGTCGACAATCGTAATTTAGTTCGAAAAATTAGAATAATTATGCGTATTATTCTAAGTTCGAAAGTTATTACTTAGAAGATAGCAAAACCTCAATAGTACTGTATGTAAGACACACACACACACACACACACAACTCACGGGTATGAGCCAATAAGCTTTACTTCGGTCACCCGATCCATCGTGATACAAGCAATTTCGTCATGAAATAGATGCAACGAATCTCGGCTACGCGAACAGTAAAAGAATAAACAAAAGCTATCGTAAATTTAATAATTGGAATCCTATACATTAATACTGTTGTTAGTAACAGTATTACTCGGTACATGATAATTATTCGTTATTATATAAGACCTTATACGATGTTGTGTGAAAAGGCTGCAAGGCCTTCCTATTCCTTCTTTTCGTGCGAAACGCAAATAGTTTATAGATGAATAGAACACAATTTGCTCGCCCGCTCGCTCGCTTTGCCATTGAAGAGTTAATGAAGTGCTTGCGTATTACATTTTAATTTTCATAAAATAATCTTTTAAAACAAATATTAACTACATATTCTATTTGAGTCAATAGCGCTTCGCGCGAATTTCGCCTCAAATCATGCGTTTTACACCAGATAAAACACACCCAAAGAAGCTTTTCGATCGACGTAAGCGATTCACTTTACGCATCCCGTGCGTGATTTGCTTCAGTTCGAACGAACCTTTATTCTTTTGTTACGTTTCTTCTCATTATTATTGAAACCATACCCTATTTACATTGTATATGAAACGCGTGAACAAAATACCTTTCAAGTAAACATTTCACAACCTCATAATAGTCTGTTGAAAAACAGTTTTTGAGCCATTGCTTTTAAGTTTAACGTTTTCACATTTGATTTAGACAAGATTTAGATTATATTAAGATAGATAAGATACAAGATGACCTGAGAGACTAGCATTAAGTTAGTTCTATATATTTAGACACCTACAATTTATTAGTTATTATTGCATTTAATAAAATGCATATCAGTAATGAGCTAAAATAAAACTGTAATAACTCATAAGACAAATATAGAACAACTCGATCATTACATATAATGTACTTCATGCGAATTATTGGTAACAGTTGTAGTGAATTGTATTACAAAAGTCAATCAGTTTACCAATGACAGCCGCTGAAAAAGATTTCCAGTAAAAAAAAAGAACTATTAAAATTGCACTTCATCCCATCGCTCAAGATTTAAGAAAGTGTAGAAATGTAGCTAACATAAAACCATCGTATAAATATACAAAAAAACGACAATATGAATTATTAAAATTGGATCCTATAATGATGTTGTGGCCGCTTGTTATCCTTTGCGGATTCGGCAGAGCGCCGCCTAGCTGCCGCGTAAACTGCGAGTTTTGAAGGCGAGGGTAAGCTGGAGTCCCGGGGGCGGACTAACGACTCCCGGGACTCAGCCGCAGGCAGAGAAGCGGATGTCGGGACCGAAGGTAACTTGGAACTGCGAACTGTGTCGTATGGCAGTGGGGAGCTGCGAGACGCACTTGACGCAATTGAACCTGATCCATCCGAGTCCTGGAATAAAATTGAAGTCAACTATTTAATACAATTTTATATAATTATTCTTACGAAATCAACTCTGTTTACTTAAGGTCTAAGTCCTTAGACGCTAAGGGTTGATTTGTACTTAGCGGTGTAGTGGCGACGTTTGAGAATCCATTACACCATATCATCCCGATGAAGTAAGAGGCGACAGAAGGAAATAAAACAGGGAAGGGCAACAGCATCTTTCTGTACAGCTCAAAATAATAAAAAACAGCGGCCTGAAGAGCGTGGTAAATATGGCGAATATTCCGCCTATAAGGCAATGGGTGTGGATTATGTTCAGCAGTGGACTTTTGCTAGATTGTAATGATAACGAGAATTATAATTAAGATCTCTGCGCACTACAACGATAAAAGCTCTGTCAGACAGTATAAGTTACATCCACTAAAACTTATCAAAAATATATCAACGACAGTACTCTACACTATACTCCACTGTTATTGTGGCCTCGGCAGGTGAATTGTCGAATCTATCGATTCACCAGACTACTCATTTCAGACCCTACTTATCGGTGTAAATTAAGTAAGATGTTTTTTTCTTTGGTAATAGACACATACGGTTATACTTTTGCCAGTGTCAAGTAAATAAAAAATGATCATTTATAATATTTTGTTTATCAAAATTCTTCACAATATGCTGTACCTCACATTGAGAAGTTCTTGGGAGATTTTGACGACAGCTTATGCCAACAGATAGTCGATAATGACAGTATCTCAAGTTATGAAGCCGCTTGAGCGGACAAAATAACTTGAGATTTATTACCCAGTTATCCGTTAATATCCATTGAATGGATTCTACAATTCGTTTTATAATGTAACTTTTTATAACTCTTTTTATGATGTATTTCCTCTGTATATCATGATGATCTGATACCCTATATTATTGTGTTAATACAACAAGTGGTTAAATTTGTAACCGATCCGCCAGGGGCTGGTGACCTGTAACTCAGGTTTTTAATATAAACCTACATATAATAGGCTCCAGTCTCTCACTACGTTAGGTTCTTACTACATTGTTACTGTAAACTAGCCAATAAGTTGCGAAGAGATAAATAAATTGAAATTTAAAACTTGTTTCGTCGTTTCCACTAATAGTTCACGTGCGCAGACACTAAATACACAAAATCGCCTCACTTTTAAGTATCAAAATCCATTTCAAAGTATTATTTGAACGATAAAACATGAGCAACAATCCCCCGGCGGTAAAGTTTCCGCCAAAACTCCCAAATGATCCATAAGGTTTCATTGCTTGTATGTTATAATTTTGAACATGAGAGCGAGTAACGTACCTTTCTTGTATCTCTGTGGTCGAGGCGATCGTATCTGGTGTTCCTGGCAGAGGGCTTGCGGGGCGGGCGCGGCAGGGCGGAGGGCGGCGGCGGCAGGCTGGAGGAGCGCGTCTGCTGCGAGGCGCGGCCCTGCCGCTCCAGCAGCAGCGCCTCCTCGCCACGCCCGCCCCGCGCGCCCACCGTGCCCAGCCCAGGGAAGCAGCAAAGTCCACGCTGCCGAATTGTTCTCATTTTTTTAAAGTTCAAATATTTTATATAATCCATACAATGAAATAAAATTGAAGTGTCTGTTTGTAATGTTAAAATAAAAGCTTTTTACTAAATGCATATGTATGTATATACGGTACTTATAACAAAAACACAATTTTTAAAATTTTTGTCTGTCTGTCTGTTTGTTCCGGCTAATCTCCGAAACGGCTGGACCGATTTCGACGGGACTTTCACTGGTAGATAGCTGATATTCTAAGGAGTAACTTAGTCCACTTATATTTGAGAAAAAGAAAAAGAATTAGGGTCTGAGCAATATATAATTAAAACCCTAAATTACACGCGGGCGAAGTCGCGGGGAACAGCTAGTTATAATATAATAATAATGTCCCCTAGACCGAATTTCGGTCACGGCGGCCAGCTGTAACGGAGACTAGCCATCTGCGCAAAACAGGATAATAGTGCCCAAGTGTATGCAGTGCACCTGTGCTTGCGCTTTATTCCCTCACTCTCACAGTCCGATGGGAGGGTAAACCGACACGACCGGAGAGAGATCACGTGCAGGACCAACGGCTTTACGTGCATTTCGAAGCACGGGGGTGAGACATCGCCAACTTCCTAACTCCGGGCAGCTACTGAGAATTCCTTTGATGGAAAAACTCAATAACTGATTCTTTTTGGCCCGACCCGGGACCTCAAGATCACAACCGTTCACAACAATTAGACCAGTGAGGGTATATATAATTTCATTGTAATCAGTTTAGTAGTTTAGGAGTTCATCGCGGACAAACATAGTGACACGTGATTTATATATATAAAGTTTAGTAAATTAAAATATAGAATTAAATTATTATTCTTATTTCTATAACTTTTGGCGACGTAACCCCATTTCGTCCACTATAATAAAATGCGGCAATAAAGCGACACTAGCCTGATGGCAGGGTGCGGACCTCGAACTCAAAAGGCCGTGGGTTCGAATCGGCATTTTTAGCTCAGGAGTGGTTAAAGGGAATATTAGTATGTAAATAACATTGCCAGTATTTTAATAAAAAAAAAAGATAGCTTAGATTACTAATATACCTAATAACCCAAAAGTATCATAAGATTACAGATAGATGGCGGTTATCTTTACCGTCACGCCAGACGCCGCGACGGGGTCAGCATAAAAGGTGAGAGATGTATGGCACTACGACCATCAATCCGCCTGCTACGTCTGACGGTTACGGTAATTAACTTTACAACAGGGGAGGCCCAAGTTCAGCAGTGGCAGTTTACTGACTGGTGAAGAACGAACAAACAAACGAGTACAGTGATGGTAAGTAAATTTTACAGCTCATGGACAATCAAGCAACTTCAAAGGCCACAAATGTATTGTTACGCTGTGATCTTGAAACGCCTGTGATTATTCTGGCTCTGTAACCATTCACAAACTGGGACATGTGGCCTTAAAAATAGTTAAGAAGGTTGGCAACCCTGACAGACTTATAAACAAGTTTTACTTAAATATCAAAAAGGTTCAATCTCTTGGTTAGTGATCGTCAAACAAAAGCAAAACGTAACTAAATATGCAATACATAACTGAATAATTGTTTCTTACCTGGTTGTATTTCTTACGCCCAGATGATATCTGATTTACTACTCCAATATGAGTTCTTCCAGCATCTTCATACTTCATTCGTGCTTTTGTTTTAAAAAATAAATAAGGCCAGTCAGGGCCAGTTAAATGTTTTACCTTTTCTTTCATAATGTAAGGATTTCATATTGGAGCAGTCAAACTTAACACTTACTAAACACTCCAAAACAAAGCAAAACAGTTTTGTTAATTAGTCGAATATAGACAAATTTATTGAGCGTTTCACTTTGAAAACTGATCAACTCTTCATATACGACCTCTAACGATTTCACAGAAACATAATTATAACTTTTAACAAAAAGTAAAAACCGACTTCAAATTGTTAAAAAAGAAATTATTTATTTGCTAAACCAATTTGGTGACCATCCAATCATATGAAATTCCTTAAACATTCGTAAAATTTGTAGCTTTTCCTCTATTTTCCACCCTTGGGTGCGAATGTTTTTTCAAAATTTAATGGCACCACCCTTGAGGTATAGCCTATTTAATAAAAATAGAATCATTGAAATCGGTTCACAATCTGCGAAGATATCGCGTAACACACATACAGAAAAAAAAACATACACTCGAATTGAGAACCTCCTCCTTTTTGAAATCGGTTAAAAAATGGAACGTGTGTACACTTCGTCTCTTTTTCCCTTTTCGATTTATATTAACTCAAACATTATGATCTGAAACGCTCAGTTCATTTTCTATGTCTATAGTCAAAGGTGGATTAAATAAAATCTTAAATAAGTATTCCATAGAGCACTTTTCTTTTTTTTTCAAAAAAATATAAATTTGCACAGAATTAAATCAACATATATAATGAAGTTAAAGGTATTGTGTTAAGATGAATAACTAGTAAAACTACAACAAACAAAACATCGTATTTATTTTAAAACATGCATTACAAAAATTTTTTACGAAAATAACCGTTCTGTTTACACTAAATTATAATTATTATTAATACATCTTACATTTAACGAATAAGCCTCGGAATGACGGTTTATTTTTAGAAGGATATTTTATATCATAATTATGATTAGTAAGACCATTTTTTTTATTATTGAATATACCATAAATTTATCTTTAATTTAAAAGACAAAATAGATAATATTAAACAATGACGAGTTGCACTCAGCTTAATTATATAATAGGCCAAATATTTCTTAAAATAGGCATCACATATAAAATGGCCAGTAACGAATGTAATCCAAAGGTTCTAAAAATACTACATGATAATGAGTTGAAATAATCAAGATAAATAAATATGCATTTAATATTAAAAACTAAACTTACATCTAAGCTAATAGTTTTACACAAAAAATAACTTTACACAAAAATCTGAATAAAATAGTCAAAACACACCGTTATACTAACTTTGGCATTACTTTTGCGACCAATGCCTGTGTACTTATACCATAAACAACAAAAAAAAACCCTTGCACTGATCTTCTAACAAAGTGCATTAGACAGAAAGATCACATGAAGTAATTACAACGAGGACTAGTGGAGTTTGTTTTCAGAAAATTAGCGAGATTCTATTGAAAATTACTTTATGTACATTTTGTTGGCACTGATTCATATTGTCATTGGATTTAGAAATTGTTTTAAGAGCACTTGAATAAGGCACATAAAATATAATATAGTTTCGTTTTTTTTATTAATTGTAATATATAAGTAAATTCATTTTGGAGTATTGAAAAAATAAATCACATTTCGAGGCCTGGGAGACCTTGTATTGGAGATTTCTCATAAGGAACTCTTTACAACAGTTTTATTAGGCGAACAATTGTTAGAAAGCTTGTTAGAAAAAAAAAACACTTCAAACAATCTAAAACCACACATAACACAAAAAAGCTTAGCGGTTTGCAAAGGAATGTTGTGTCATAGAAATACTGCACTGCCGGAATGTTTTGAATTGTGACCCGGTATTTACTCAACCATCCTAGTGGCACTTACAACTAACATTACTAAATGTAATCGAAACACTTTCACTGCGTGTATGTAGCCTAACGCCTGTAACGCAAAAACTAGGACTTAGTGAAAAGACGGTGTCTAATCGGAATTAAAATTCTTGTACTATATAGTTTATTCTTAAGGTAAATCAATTGTAAGCTCACACACAAATATAATAACTTTTTTAAATTTCGCAATTGTATAAATTTATAATACGTCTGCAATTTAAATATGTACCGTAATAAATGTACATATTAGTTTTTATTTTCAGTTATTAATTAATCAATTGAAGTCTCAACGCGATGAAAAAACGTTATTTGTTTCTATTTTACTGTTTAAAAGAAAACTATAAACTTACAAATTATATGGTATAATCTCATTGTTTAAGAACTACTTAATTTCCAGATTCTAAAAAAAACACGGTCGTAGTTGTAGGAATACGCTATGTGAAGACATAGACAACGGTTGAAATATAAGTACTACACATCAAATTAAACTGCAGAAACATGAAATTTTTAAATCCCAGTTGGATTCAATAATTATATAGTGCCACCTTTATATTCAATAAAAGCGTAAAAAATACGCGTAGTTTTGGAATTTTGCTTGGTGAAAATTAATTCCTGTCCAAGAGGAAATAATTACACACAACAATCTTTTTCTGATATTTCTAATGATATACATATAACTGCAGTTCTGACCGGAAGCTTGGGTCAAAATAGTTGTATAAGTAAGTTTTACATTCGAGTAAAACATAATATTTGGAGAGACGACGTGTGGAGTAGTTTGGAACATATGAGTATATTAGAAGAGGTTAGGAGTTTGTGTGTGACATATGTGATTACCCCCACATGAAGTATAAATTTGTAGATGGGGAAGAAAGGGGTTGTGTGATTATTGGGGTGCGTGAACTATAGACATTAGATTAAGATTCTGGTATTGTTGAGAAGTGGTATGGAAGCATGTGGAGATGTATTAAAGATTTGATAACTCATGTAAGTGTGCGAGCGTGAGGTTATGGGGCGTGAGTAAGTGGGGAAGGTTTAGAGCTGGTTGCAGCATGGGGTGGAGTATAGAGGTATGGGCTTTGCTGGTTGGTATATAAAGGTATGAGAGAAATATGGGTGCACACGAGGATGCATGAAGTGAAGGCATGTGGCCATACATTAGGGCTTCGGGTTTGCTATAAAAGAATAGATTGAAACATGTACGATATGCAGTGACGCATGAACTAGAAGCACGCGATTTGAACTTGTGAGTCATTCAGTGATCATGTAGGAGAAAAATGTGGCGGAGTGTGAGGATATGGGGGAGAGTGGGGTATGTGGGGGAGTGTGGGTTATGTGGAGGAATGTGGGGTATGTGGGGGAGTGTGGGGTATGTGGGGGAGTGTGGATTATATTGGGATATGTGGGGTAGTGTAGGGTATGTGCGGGAGTGTGGGTTTTGTGGGGGAATGTGGGATATTTGGGGTATGTAGGGGAGTGTGGGTTATGTGGGAAAATGTGGACATAGGAGGGGAGTGTGGGCTATTTGGGGGTGTGGGTAATGCAGGGGAGTGTAGGCGTGTGTAGGCGTGTGGCTGCGTGTGGCAGCGTGTGCGTGGTGCGGTCAGTAGTAGTTGTGTCGCGGCGCGTCGGCGGGCGCGGGCAGGTAACTCACGGCGGGCACGGGCGGCCGCTCCAGCCGCGACTCCAGCGCCGCCAGCTGCTCGTCCAGCCGCAGCGACGTGCTGTCGAACCCGCAACCTGCACGCAACGTCGTTACACACATTATAACCGACTCTCTCGTCACCATCCTTCCTAACAGTCCACTGCGGACCATTGGTCTCCAATTATGGACTTGGAATGTAGGAACAATTACCGTTTCTGTTAAAAACACAGCGTATCATTTTAGTCGCTTAATACACACTGAACCTAAAAGATGTCATATTTAATTTTATAGTAGTAAAGGGCACTAAATATTATAAACTAGGTTTTATTAATTTAAAATTTAAAATTTTGTACAATCGACTTCAATATATAATATTAAGGATAACTCAAAAACTATTAGTCAAACCTTGATCAAGTTTATATGGGACCACATTAGAAACACCAACTTTCAAATAAAAAAAAAGAAACATCGAAATCGGTTTACGTAGAAAACCTTATGATATAACAACACACATAAAATAAAATAAAAAACATACAGTTGAATTAAGTACCTCCTCGCTTTTACGGTAGAAAATACAACTACGCGAATTGAATGAAAAGTAAAAGTATGAAATATATATAAACATAATATTTGACTTTTATTAATTTGAGTAATGAAAGTATACCAGTAAATAATGTAGTTGGATTTTATAGTATAATTGGAATTCAATATTTAAAACATTTATAAATTTTATGAGTATGACAGCAATTATATTTTGGAGCAACACATTGCCAATGGGAATTAAATTGTTATGGGATTTTGCTACGCGTTCCTTTCGAGTTTGCTTTCGTCGACCGTTATGATGTCGTAGCTGACGGTACCGTAGACAAAACTATTACTGTGTTTTAATTGTAAGAAGTTCGATTTTTAGTGTGTTGCACTATACAGAAAAATAGAGGGCAAGCAAGTAGATAAAATGCATATTATTAAATAATTTATTTAGTTAGTAAAGTGAAATAATAACACTGAATAGAAACGTGTCCGATATTTTTTTTTATTACAGTTTTATTATACATTATAAATGAATTATTTACTAAGGCTCGAACATCCATAACTTTGATACTAGTTATTTTATCGAAATTGTTCATTTCTGTATCACAGTCTTCATTCCATTCTGTATTTATCACAAATATAACGAAAGTAAAAAGTCAACAGAAACAAAAAAGAAAACAACGAAAAATAGTAACAAACTAAAGATCGCACGGGACCACAAACAACGAACATAGACACACTTCAGCAGTGTTGCTATCGGTACCATAAGGGCGATGCTTGAGGCGCGGTGTGAAATGTGAGGCATTCATGAAATGAGCACGTATATTATGTATCACATTATTATACCAGACTATAAATGTATTGATGGAATTATTAAGCGTATATTTATGTCAACATTACCGATATTAATAAAATAATTTATTATATATTATCCAATCAAGCTTATGGCATATCGAAATCTGGAGAGAAAATAATCCTACGTAATTTAAAACTAAATTCACTAGTTGTTTTGTTGTAGTTGTTACGATTCGCCAATTAAGGCAGGCAAAGGTCTTAAACCATACAGCCTTGTCTGATGTAAATTTTGTTAAAACTGGAATATCTTCAATTCCTGACTTCCTGCATTAGTATGACTAAAGTAAAACCTGTCACGATTTTAAATTCTACATTTTTACATATTTTTCATTTGTAGCCGCAAGAAAAAAATGTCAACAAAAATTTGTTTGGGAGTTCGCCATTGTCCTTTCATAGCATTCTTTATTTGTACATTTTTTAAATGAACCAGAAAAATTAAAATTTCCTTCAATAATATTTTATGAAGTAAGCGAATGTATAACACAAAAATAATACAAATTGCGTAAATGCATAAAATATTGTTAAATTAAATGCATGTACAATGCAGGGTAGGAGTGTAGCTTACCGCTGGTGTTGTCGTTGTGCGGCGAGTAGTTGCGGCGGGCGAGGTGGCGGTAGCGCGAGGCCACGCCGCTGGAAACGCCGCCCACGCCGCCCACGCTGCCCACGCTGCCAACGCCCTCCGCGCTCGAAAACGACGCGCCCGACGACAGGCCCACTGACAAAATCACACCAAATCTTAGCTTTGTCCTAACTATAGAATAAAAACGGCCTTGCTTGCCAAAAATACCTACTACCTGTAAATTAATACCATGCTTAGAGGCGAATGAATTCCTATATTATATCCAAGATACGAAAAATAAACTATAAACAAGCAATCCAGTGCTTCTCAAACTTTTTGGCAACAATAATGACATACTATTTTGAAATTGTTGTAAAATTTTAGTGAAAGTTGACTTCCTAAGGTCGGGCAATGTATCACCCGCTTTCACATTAACCAGAACTTTGCCAATTGTGGGTAATTCATTATAGAAATAAAAATTATGGACATTGCGACGTATTCCCAATTATAAATAATTCTTCGCCTTCGCTTGCGTTTCGAGATGATACCCTCATGATCTCCGCAGTTTTGTACTTATATCGTATTTATAAGGATAAGAATCCTTAGGCCACGTCTCTTCTACATGCTTGTAGATGTTAATTAGCGTTTCCTTATCCACTGAATGCATCAGCTCTCTTGGACCATTTTTTAAAGAAAAAGTGCAAATATTTTTCGGCCTATATTCACTAATTTCGTGAAAATAAACACGACACGAGTAACAAGGAGAACAAATGTAACTTAACAGAAATAATAGCGAAACAACTACATACGAAATTACGCGTAATAAAAAATACGCTAATGTCAACGAGTTGAACGAGAGTAAATAAAACATGGCGGATATAATCCAACCGAATATAGAAGCACTGCTTCTAATGTAAAATAGTCACTTAGCATAAAAATGCGTAAACTTGGAATCTTAGGGCTTTTTAGGTCTTTATAATGTTAAGTTGTTAGCTTATTAATTTGAGTATTTTATTTGAAATTTACATTTTTGTCGATATGTTTATCAAAAATGTTAGATATTCTGTTGGCAAATAATGTAATATTTATTTACGTTCTAATTATTGTGAAAGCAACGCCTTAAGAACCCTTTTTATGATTGTCTACCATTTATTGTTTATCGTATCTTTCCATAGGGTATTATTTGTCTTAAATAGCTTACTTTACGCTTGTAACTCACAACTTCAGATTAGTATCTTTTTCTAGTATGATGAAAATTTAGAAGTTGCACTGGAATCGCCTCCATATTTAATTGTTTCTCCATGTTAATTGTTAATGAAGAAACTTTTTCTTCTCCTCAATTAGCCTGTTACAGTCCACGGTGGAGCATGGAACTTTCCCATAATATTAATTTATTATTTCATTCATTACAGCCTATCAAAGTCCTCTGGTGAACAAGGACTTCCTCAATAGATTGCCTCATAGGGGAGATATTTGGTATAATGGCCACGCTTGGGTGGGTGAAGGAGAATTGGCAACTGCAGTTTAACCTACCTACGACCTACGACACTAACAGTATGAATTGAGGTAAGGAATTCTGTTACTACACGGCCATAATATACTTAATATCAATTACCAAGTTCCTCTCGACTAGAATTGTTTCTTAATGAAGCTCCACTATCGTAGGCGGCACTAGTGTGCTTCTGAAGAACTTTGATCATTGCATCGCGTTCCGCAACCTTCGACTCTAACTCTTTTACCCTGTGAAAAACGCAAATTCAATCAAATATGTATATCTCACAATATACAGGCCGTCCGACGGTTACGCCACACGGAGGGAAATTATTTTCAATTTTATATATAGGAAACTTTGCTTCTTGAAGACTTTATTTAAAAGCAAGTAACTCTAAATCCAAAGATATTTAGAAATTTGCTTGTCTCATCTGGAATTCGATACGAACGAATTTGGAAAAAAATCTTGTGTTATTATGACGCCGATCAATTGGGTCAATTATAACGATGAATTTCTTCAAAGTAAGGTAGTATCTAAAATTAAATGATTACCATTAAATTTAACAATTTAATTAAAAACAACGACGTTATTAATGATAGATTGTCAAGGATATTTCCCAATCTATCTTCTAATTTATTAATTTATTAAATGCTCAGGATACCATCCATGGTCTTGTAAGAAAATCTTTACATAATTTCGATGTCTGTTTTTAATTCACAACATTTTTCACACTATGCTGATACGTCACATTGCGAAGTTTTTAGGATATTTTGACGACAGGTTAAACCAGGGGGCAGTTGATGACGATAGTATCTCAAGGTGCCTATGCGGAAAAAGAACTCGAGATTAAAAATCACCATCGAAGTACTTGAGACATCGTTTCCAGTAATAGTTCACACGAGAATTTTATCAATCCACAAAATCGCACTGCTTTTACGTATCGAAGTCTACTTCAAAATATTATTTAGGCGATAATATACAAGCAAAAATCAATCGCGGTTAAGTTGCAAACAAACAAGTGTTCCATTTTTAGGGTGCCGTATCCAAAGGATAACCAACGGGACCCTATTACTAAGCCTCCGTTGTCCGTCTGTACGTCCGTCCGTCCGTCTGTCCGTATGTCTGCTAGCGGGCTGTATCTCATGATCAGTAATAGGTAGACAGTTGAAATTTTCACAGAATGCGTATTTCTGTTGCCGCTATAACAACAAATAACAAAAATAAAAGGGGCTCCCCGACTAGAAACGTGTATTACGTTGCTACGGAACCCTTCGTGCGCGAGTCCGACTCCTACTTGGCCGGTTATTAAATTAAACAGCAACCATTCGTTTTGCAATTTCGTCTACTGTCAAGCTCACAGCAGAGATACATTTAAATTCTATTAAATCGTATTTATTAAGCACTTATAAGGAAAAAAATGTAAGGCAGTAATTCCTCAAGTGGTTACTTCTTAGTTAAAAATCAAAACTATTTATGAAAAGATAGGCATTACCTAACTTGATGAAAAATTCAGTGATCCTTTAATTTATGATACTTTTATACTTATAAAGAATTAATTCTTATTTAATTGACTCTATCGATCGGCACACAGAGGTTGTATTTTTTCGTATTTTATCGGTCAGATTCCCAGATGGGCCAAGCAACTTTTTAAAATTATTTGAATTCAGCATAACTTAATTTAATAAAATAAAGTCTCCACGAAGGAAATTTCTTATATACAATACTTAAAGTTCTTTCCCTCCGTGTGACATAGTCGAGGGATAGAATAGAATACAATAGAATGAATATTTTTATATACATATATTACATGTAATTCTTATTGAAAGTAATTTTTTACTTTTGCCACTAGTCCGGAAAATAAAACCTCTGTTCTGGAAAGAAATGGCAAGAAACCCAGCGGGACTTTTTTTTTAGTAAATTGTGCAATAATAAAGGTTGTACAAACTATTTACAAAATTTATTTTAGAAACAGCTTGGATGCTTGGAGCTTAGTCTGCTTGCTAGTTTAGATATTTGGGAGCCCCAATGAAGCTTTGCGTCGAGAGTGATACCAAGAAAAACAGTGGATTCAATAGGGTAGTTCTTCCCCATTTAAAAATACATTGGTATTCAGATTTTTAATATTCGGTGTTGTAAATTTTATAAGTTTAAATTTAAATGTAGATTATTAACGATAAACAAATGCAATAATTTTGATATAGCATTATTCACAGCGTAACATTTTTAAACATTTCAATGATTGCTGTTTAAGTTTAAAAATCAAGGAAGTATCATCAGCAAATCTTTTATATATAAAAATTACGTGTCACATTGTTTGTCCGCGACGAACTCCTAAACTACTTAATTGATTTCAAGGAAATTTTGCACACTGTGTGCAGTTTGGTCCAACTTGAGAGATAGAATAGTTTTTATCCTGATAAGTGACACTCAATTTTTTATTGCTAATCTTAGGAAAGCAAATGGTCGTCGAAAAGGACAGAACAACGTCTGCCTGGTCAGATAGTAATACTATATATATATATATATATATATATATATTATAATGATTATCCCCTACAAGGGAAGGTAAAAAAAGAAATAGAAATAGGCCGAAAATTGAGCCTTGACGGACACCCATTAAATAAAAGTGGCCTAGAAGATTTTTTTACCATTCATAGTAACTTTCTGTGTTCTCAAACTAATAAATTTAAGCGCAATGTTCTTGAGGTAATAGTACAGCAGCTTCCTAATTAATGTCTCATGTTGAACACAGTCGAAAGCATTGCAAAGATCACAAAATATATATAAAGCATTCTGAATTCTAGAATACTCCCAAATCTAAAATTGGTCTAAAATTGGTGGGGGTCTAATATACTACCAGACTTAAATAAAGGTAGGACTTTATATATCATTAAATCTGGAAACACTCCAGATTCAACGCATGTATAAATGTCCTGTATTTTTATAAAAGTTTTCATGTACAAAATAATAATCAATACATTGAAAATAGATGTTATATTTCATACGAGATTTATATTGAGGAAATGTACCTGCTCTCCAAATCAGCAACTTTCTTCTGTGCAGAGTGCAACTCATCCATGTGCCTTATTTTCTCAGTCCGAACCTCAGCCATAAGTCTCTCGGACTCCGCAGACGTCTTCTCGAGGGCTGCTATCTTCACGTCTCTACAAAACAAAAAGCCGTAGATATGAAAGTAGTATATTTTCGGTTTAGGTCTATTCAAATATAGGCGATATCATTTGCCACTATGGCCAGCAAAATTGACCATTAAGTATTCCGCAAGGAATCAGAAGGAACTCTCGCGGCTGGTGTGAAAACTAGAGTACCGCGATATAACAGCCCAAAAGGGAACGCCTAGACAGTAAAAATCAATAACGTTTCGCTATCTTTTGAAACATTTTGCATTGTAAATTTTTTTGAAAGATCAATGGTGTGTTCGCCATGCAGCAGCTATATTATGGTTGCAGCTCGAATGAGTCGGCATGACCGGGAAAGGACCAAGGTCTCAGATTACGAGCGTAAAATAGCAGCTTAAACCTGCAGCTGTAGCTGCAGCTGCACAGCGCACAGCACTTACTTGGGTATGGAGGCGGCGGATACGGCGGCCTGGCGCAGCGCGGCCTCCTCCAGGTAGCGCTGTTCCCACTTGGCGCACTCGCCCTCCAGCGCCAGCAACCTTTCGTCGCGCTCTCGCAGCTGTCGCCTCAGCTCAGCCTCGCCGCCTGCACTGTTGCCAGTTCCGCCTGAACTGTTAGTGGGACTGGCACCCCCACAGTTGCATTCTCGTTTCCTGTACAACATTTCAAAATCAGAACTTTTATTCAACTTAGGCTTGTTTTAAAGTCAATGTCTAAAAACTACACCGATTTATAAAACAATTAATTCTCAAAAACTGGTAAAAGACTGCCGCTTTTTTTTTAAATGCCATATCGATTCAATTCAAATTAGTTAATTTAAAGCTCAGGATTTAATAGACCAGAAATCCTAACCAACAAAACACCTATTACTAATGGGGTTGTTATAAACTAATTTGCTTAATTCCGCGTAAAGAAAGAAAATGATGTGTCCTGTCCAGTTTTAAGGGGACATCCCACCCTCCCTCAATCGCACGCACTATACCCGTCGCCGTCAATCCCAGCACTACCATCCCCAGCACCACCACACTGGGCACGATACATCACTCTCGAAAATACGACACGTGTTTTGCCTCTACACGAGACATCCTCAGGTAAAGTAGACTCTGCGGAGGCTGGCAGTTAAGTGAGCGTCGAACCGAAACTACTGCTATTTATACTACTTGCTGACGCGAAGGGTTTCGCCTCTACACGAGGCATCCTCAGGTGAATAACAGTAAATAACAGTAGAGTTAAATAGCACAACTAAAAAAAAAGGCCTCTACAGCACACGTTATCTCATCGTCGCCGTCGATTTTATACGGTGAGGTGAGTAAAAAGGTGAATATGGTGGGTGCTTCATCAACTGAAACCCAGCAGTTCGGATGACAGCGCCTGCAACATTAAATCGATGGGCAGAGGCATTATCATGATGAAAAAGCACCCAGTACGCAATTTTCCTCGACGTTTATTCTTTAGTTCTTTGGGTAGTTTTTTAAATTGATGATGCGTAATAATCTCCGAATATCGTCTCTCCCTTACTTCAGTCGATCGTTATTATGCCGATATCTTTTCAACGGACCCAGAAACCTTGAATCTCTTGGCTGGCGTGGAAGACGGTCATATCCACATCTTGCTTTGGTTTTTCAGCTCCGGGCCAAAATGGTGAACCTACGTTTCATCTACGGTTACGAAACGGGCGCAAAAAGAATCTGGATCTTCTTCAATTATTGCTAAATTAGCTTTGAAATGTCAACTCTTTCTTTCGTTTAGATTCTATTAACATTTGAGGAACCCAGCGCGCGACCTACTTTTTGAATTTTAAGGCATGAGTTAAAATAAACTGAATTGTAAACGGCCGTGTAGTGGCGGTTAAGAATATCCACTACCCCATATCTTGGGTGTCGTAAGAGGCGACAGTGTTAAACAGGCAAGAGACGAGCAGCAGATGATAACAGCAGTATGACAAAAAAAAACTGCGGTTGCCCACCCGCTCGCCAAATATCCCTCATAATGAAAGTTACGAAGAGACGGCCCCCAGTCCCCGGCGGCCCCGCTATTCCTGACTACGGTGGCGACCATGGTAACGACGGGGCAGGTGCTAAGAATCTCCAGTTGAGGTTCGGTTGCCACCTAAGACGACTCGACCTGGCAAAATACAACGCACGCTCCCTGAGGACTGACGAGAAGATCCTGAAGCTGGAAGAAAAGATGGACAAGTTACGCTGGCATATTATAGGATTATCCAAGGTCCGAAGAGAGGGGGAGGACACGGTAATCCTTGAATCCGGCAACTTGTTCTATCACCGAGAGGGCGATCATCTGTCCCAAGGAGGTGTCGGATTTATCGTCCACAAGTCTCTCGTTAACAAGTTGTAAAGATTGTGTGTGTCGACGAGGGTTGCGAACCTTATATTCAGAATCACCAAACGGTATTTGTTGATGGTCATACAGGTTTACGCACCAACCTCGGCACATCCCGATGAGGAGGTGGAAGAAATGTATGAGGATATCTCTAAAGCCATGAATTCCTCCAAAACCAACTATACGGTGTTAATGGGAGACTTCAACGCAAAGCAAGGCACAACAGAGAAAGGTAGGGAAATTTGGAATAGGGCAGCGGAACCCAAGGGGCTGGCCAACTCCATGGAGAAAGAGGGACTCTTTATGATGAACTCTTTCTTCTAGAAGCGGTCCCACAAGAAGTGGACTTGGTCGAGCCGCGACGGTACGACAAAAAATGAGATTGACTTCATTATAACGACCAGACGACAGTTGTTTAGTGATGTCTCAGTGACCGCGAGGGTAAAACCTGATAGTGATGACTGAATGGTTAGAGGCACACTGAACCTACACGTTAAGTTGGAAAGGTCTCGTCTAATGAAGTCAACGTTCAAAGTTCGAGTTACAAAACCGTTTACAGTGCCTAGAAGACTGCAATGAAGTGGACGATATGAATAACAAGCTCGTGGAAATAGTCCATGCGATCAGAGCTAAGTTCTAAAAAAATAATAATCACAGCGGTGACCCGCTCCAAATTGTAATTTCCCTTATAGTGCGCGGCGAGTCGCGTATGACGTCACCGCGCTTTGTCCGGCCGTTCGAATTTTGATGAGAACATCGCGCGGGAGGGCTACACTTTCTCATTATCTCCGCCATTTTTTAAGTTAGGAATAAAATAAAAACGCCATTTTTCTTGGAATTTTCTCTAGTTTTGTAACAAACACAACAAAAATCGTTGGCCTTGTCATTTCCTTTGCAAATGGTTGTCAATGACTCTATACTACCATTGCACAAGCCGGCATCTTCTAAACTTACTCGCAACTTCGCCACAGTGGGATTCACAGAAATTATAAAAAAAATAGATTTGTTTAATTCATGATAAATATAATTTATGCAACGCTAAAAATAAAAATTTTAATTAAAAAAAAGGTGGGTGTGTACTTATGTACGCACGTAGGAAGTTATACTTCTTTAGCGTAACAAAACAAAAATAACTAAAAATAACTACATTAAATATAGTTATCAGTTCCCACGAAAACTTAAGAGACAGTTATCCACTGAAGTCTCCGCTTTGAGGTGTCAGTGTGTGCGCGTATCACAACAACTTCATGGTGTCGTTTAAGGTGTCGGTGTGCGCGCGCATCGTAAAAATTCACTCTCATCATTTTCCCAAACGCCCCAAAAGAAGTATAACTAACGACATAATATCATTGAAACAACGTCAAGCATAAAAGTTGATTTTAGTTAAATATTTTAGTTTGTTTGAAAGATTTAAATTTAAATTAGTGATAAAGAATTATACATGTAATGAAATGTAAATAACCTCATAATTCTCTGGATTTACGTAAAAGGTTAATTTATGTTGCAGAAGTGAACGGCAGGGTCAGGAAGGGACGCCATAGACGAAGGTTTATCGACCAAATCGGCGATACATTAAAAATGGGCCAGATTAGGAGTACCCTTAACCGACGAGCGTGTATGCGTAGATATATGGATGTAAAGGAGGCGAGAGGTGTGTCAGGATCCCGCCAAATGGAAGTCCGTAGTCTCTGCCTACCCCTCTGGGTGATAGGCGTGAGTGTTTGTGTGTGGGTGTGTGTGATAATTCAGATCGTGTGAGTATGCTATTTGTACAAAATTATTGCTGAATGATTAATGTGAAACGTCAAAAGGTATTCTTAGTATAAAGTGTACATAATTTTACATAAGGGACCGAAATATCCAATTTTTAAACCAGTATTTTCCAACACTTTGATTCCAGAAAAAAATTATCATACCGAAGAGTCTGTAGTTCTTTTTCCAGTTGCGCTCGAAGTTTCCTCTCGGTGTGTTCACGCCTATCGGACGCTTGTTGCAGGGACGCCAGCGCCCTCTGCAAACCCATTACTCTCTCCACATACCCACTTGCGTGACGACACTGTACAAAACATCAAATATAATTACAATACAAACGAAAACAGTTATGAGCGGAGATGTAAAATGTGCATGCATACCTCTTCTTCCAACCTCACGACGTTGGCCTGAGCGTTAGTGAGGGCCGTGTCCAGGATGTCGATATGTGTGCGTTGTTCCTGCAAGGTAGCGCGCTGCGCCGCCATCTCGATCTCCTGACGCTCTTTGGCACACGCCAACTCCTTGTCTATGGGCCGAACCAAATCATTATGTTACTACGTGAACATCGAAAACTGAAGTAATTTTTTTAATATTTATTATTTAAGGAGTAGAATGGAACTTATATCATTCGAAAAATTCGAAAGGAATCTGTCTGTCACGAATTTCGGTTACGGCGGCTGGTCTCAACGGAGATAAATTGTAACGTTCTGATTTTTAACCAGTAGAAAAAAGTTCAGCTTATATTATAAGCTGAACTTTTTCCAGTTTAAATTATCAAAAAGCCATTTGACAATTAAATTAATTTTATACATAATTAAAATAAAACAAATTACAGTCCGTACGGATAAAAAATGGGATTAGAAATGGCCGTTCATCGAGCCTGTACCGTCAACATGCACAGTATTAATAGCGAAACCCCGGTAATAACGGTATATCGTTATAACATTATATTATTCGTTTAATTAGAAAATGTCTATTAATGGGAAAATATTTGAAAAGAAATGTATACGCAAATCGGTAATTTTAAAATAACATTTATAAATAGCGACCCACTCTGGCTTCGCTCGATAATCAATATTAAATCTCTATTTAAATAAAGTCTCTAAATTTTTCGGATAAAATTTAGTCTAGATAGCTCCTGGCATTACTCAATCAACAATATAATGAAGACAAAATCAACAATGTAATGAAGAAAACTCTCAGAACGCGTCATAGCTCACAAATTAGCAAAACCGGACTCAATTTTTTTGTAGTTTATGGCATTTTGTTATCACTGATTCCAAATTGAACTGAAGTTATAGAACGTACGAAAAACGCATATGGCAACGTATTTTTGTTTGGAGACTTTTTTTATGGTTTGAGCATAGACATTCACAATGTACGAGCAAGAGGTAAATAGAGGCGACGCCATTTTTAATCCCATTTTATAACCGCACGGACAGTACCGTTACTGTTACAGCCTATCAAAAGTGAAATGCTATGAACATATATCTACCCCATAGATTGCATCATAGGGGAAATATTTACCACAGGGGCAAAGCTTGGCAGGCGGATTGGTACCTGCAGTTTTTTATTTTTTTTATGTTGTTATTAGAATGACGGTGCGGCTTGTTTGTTTTCCTTTGTCACCTCTTACGACATTCACGTGAGGATATTGGTTGTGGATATTCTTACACCGCCACTACACGGTAAAAAAATAAAATACAATGCATATTAAATTATTCATGTTCATCTGTGTCACTGTCATATTCCTGAAGATTTATTATTAAGGGTCGAAGTTTTCTACAATTTATAGACCGCGCGTAAGCATCAGCAGGTGGCAAATGATGGATATTTCCAAATTCGTTTGCATACTGACACGCCGACTCAGCTGATAACAGGCGGAATATAACGGAAGTTATTATATACCACAAATTTAGATAAAAAAGCGATACTTCATTCCAACCTACCGTAACTCATGTAATAATACAATAAGTAAGAAGTTAATTTCTTTTTTAGCCCCCGACGTAAAAAGAGGGGTGCTCTTAAATGGGTGAAGCGATTTGGGTGCGATTTTTTTTAAAAGCAAGTTTCTAGCGGTGGTTCTTAGACATGTTTTACTGAAATCGGTTCAGCCGCTTGAAGATCATTAGCTTTTTGTTTCGTTTTTTTTTTTAATTTTCAATGTAAGTTAAAATAATAATAATCATTAAGCACTGAATAAAAGTTATGTGTATATATTCACATAGTTCATACTTTGCGTAATGAGTTGTGCAATAAGCATTTCCCGGTTCTGCAGCTCTTTCCGTAGTGCGTCGGCATTGCTTTCGTTCTCTGTCCTCACACCTTGAGACAATAGCTCCACCTGTTTTTATTTGAATATATTTAGTAATTAATATTATATTGACATTCAAGAAAAATCCTACTATAAATGATATATTATATGTTATAATTTCTCCTTTTATCTGTTATAAAGTTACACATCTGCCATCTTATAACGTAACTATAATAATGTAATGAACTTCAGTTCTTATTGAAATATGCGTGTATGCATTCATGCGTGCGTTGGTAATTTCTTTTTACGTACTACGGCACGTAGCCGTTAAAGTATATAATATCGATAGAAATTGTATATTATATATTGTCATCACTTTAATAGTCAAATAAACATATTTTTTTCTTTGTAAAGTATATGATATTAGTATTAATTAATAATGGATAAATAGGATTGGAGTAGCGTGTAGGCGATTGTCTTCATGGTAACGGCACGGCGTTTAATCCATCAAGCCGTTTTGTTCTGAGGTTATCGTATATGGCGATTAAGAGAAATACTAGTCAAATCTTATGGCTTCCGGTTAATGACGTTATAACCACCTCGTTTACGTCAGACTCAAAATACTCAGACTGAAGATGGGCAGAAGCATTACACGTGCACACGTGCGTGAGATCTGACATTGCGATCGTCAATTCGCCTGCCAAGCGTGACGATTAAGGCAAATCCTGCGTACAACGATGAGATGTTTATGTTGAGGAGTGGACTTTTATGGGCCGATAAAGATAAAAGAATGCAAGTGCGGTGGTGTGGATGTGTAGTGGTGTGGATGTGTAGTGGTGTGGATGTGTAGTGGTGTGGATGTGTAGTGGTGTGGATGTGTAGCGGTGTGGATGTGTAGTGGTGTGTTGGTGGGGCGGTTTCGTGATGTGATGGCGTGGTGATTTTGTTGCGCGATGGTTCGGTTATTTATATGGTGTTGTGGGTGTGTAATAATGTGTTGGCGAAGCGGTGTCGTGGCGTGTTGTGTTGGCGTAAGGGTTTAGTAGCGTGGTAGATTGGTGACGTGGTGGTATGGTGTTGTGATAGTTTGTATGTGTAGTGGTGGCGCAGCGAAGCAGAGGTGTGAGGCGTGTTAGTGTGGTGGCGTGTTGGTGTGTTGGTATGTAGATTTATTGGTATTTTGGTGTGTTGGTATATGGTATGTTAGTGTGTTCGTATGTTGGTATGTAGGTGTATTGGTATCTTGGTGTGTTGGTATGTGGTATGTTAGTGTGTTGGTATGTTGGAATGTAGGTGTATTGGTATTATGATGTGTTGGTATGTGGTATGTTAGTGTGTTGGTATGTTGGTATGTAGGTGTATTGGTATTTTGGTGTGTTGGTATGTGGTATGTTAGTGTGTTGGTATGTTGGTATGTAGGTGTATTGGTATTTTGATGTGTTGGTATGTGGTATGTTAGTGTGTTGGTATGTTGGTATGTAGGTGTATTGGTATTTTGGTGTGTTGGTATGTAGGTGTATTGGTATCTTGGTGTGTTGGTATGTGGTATGTTAGTGTGTTGGTATGTTGGAATGTAGGTGTATTGGTATTATGATGTGTTGGTATGTGGTATGTTAGTGTGTTGGTATGTTGGAATGTAGGTGTATTGGTATTATGATGTGTTGGTATGTGGTATGTTAGTGTGTTGGTATGTTGGTATGTAGGTGTATTGGTATTTCGGTGTGTTGGTATGTGGTATGTTAGTGTGTTGGTATGTTGGTATGTAGGTGTATTGGTATTTTGATGTGTTGGTATGTGGTATGTTAGTGTGTTGGTATGTAGGTGTATTGGTATTTTGGTGTGTTGGTATGTGGTATGTTGGTGTGGCGGTGTAGTGGTGCGGCGGTGTGACCTGGTGCTTGAGCGCGCGGTTGAGGTCGTGCAGGCGGCGGCAGTCGGCCTGCAGGCGCAGGCGCGCGGCGCGCTCGAGGCGCTCGCGGCGCTCGCACGACCCCACCAGCTCCTCGTGCGCGCTGCGCACCTTCTCCACCTCCTCCTCCAACTGCACACCGATTCATACTTTTTACTCACTTCAAAATATTTCACAAGAATAAAATGCTTATTGCCATACTATAGTGGAAACTGCAATAATTATAACTAATAATAATTATTATTATTATAACTCAATACACATACTGCGTGGGGGCTCAGGCTGCCCCGCGTATTCTGGGGGGGGGGGGCAAAATTCAGCTCAAAAACATAACTGCTCGGGGCAAACTGAGCAACAAAAAGAGCAAAAAAAAAGACCAAGGCGACCCCTGCCACGCTATCCGTGAATTTCTGCAACATCAGTAGACTTCACTCGAACCTAAACGCCGTTCACTACCATCTCGAGACGGCGAAGCCGGCCTTGCTCTTTCTGACCGAGACGCAGGTTTCCTCTCCGGTGATATTTCGTATCTCTCCTACCCGGGGTACAAATTGGTGCACTCCTTTGTGCCTCGGGCTGGAGTTTGCGTGTATATCAGAGAGGACATCTGTTCTCGACGCTGCGGCAATCTTGAAGGTTCGGACCTGTCCATCCTTTGGCTACGCGTAGACAGCGACGACCATCCGCGCGTCTACGGGTGCCTCTATAGGTCCCATAGCGGTAATGCCGAAACAGACCGACTCATTGACCACGTCCAAATGGCTACAGATTCTTTGCTACAACAGATCCCATCCGCAGGGATCGTGATCCTTGGCGATTTTAACGCCGACCACGCCGAATGGCTCGGTTCACGTTTAACCGATCATGCGGGGAGATCTGTTTATGACTTTGCTTTGGCATATGGTCTGACACAACTGGTTACTTCGCCTACGCGAATTCCAGACACCTTCCCTGTTGGACCTTCTGCTGACCTCTCATCCAGACGGATATCAGGTTTCCGTCGATGCGGCTCTTCGGACCATTGTCTCATCCGGAGTGTGGTGCCACTCACGCTCCCCTCGCGGTTGCGTTCTGCAGGTTGCCGCCGTTTTTGGCATTACAGGTCGGCGGATTGGGACGGAATGCGGTCTTTCTTTGCATCCTACCCATGGAGGCGGGTTTGCTTCTCGCCGGATGATCCCATGTTACTGACTCTGTCACTGATGTGGTGCTACATACAGGGAATGGAACTATTTATTCCATCATCTGTGGTACCCATCGGAGACAGATCACAGCCTTGATTTGGTCGCTCCTGTAAGGCTGCAACACGCAGTAAGCAGGAGTGTTATCAAGCCTGGGCTGCGGCTTCGGCGATTCGGGATGTAAACACCAGCACACTTAAAAAGAAGTATAATTCCGCCTCCAGCCGGGCTATTCACAATCGTCTCGGAAAGCGAATTCGACTCGGATTCGATAACTTCTCGCACCGAAACCAATAAACGCTATTCACATTTAACGTTCGGATAAAGGTCACTTAGATACATCCTATAACTACTGTATCGTCATTTAGTTACATGCATTTACGAATTTGGTAGATAAATAGGCTTTTGTATTTTTTTAGAGTAACGCCTAAACAAAAACATAATGCAATATTTCGGTGTTAGCCATTAATATCGAATATAAAAAATATATAATTTAACTATATAATAAATAACAAAAAACTGAGATATATATATATATATATATATATATATATATATATATATATATATATATATATATATTTGTGATAGAAAACTTATAAAAACACACCTTTCACAAAAATTCAGCTTTACGATTAAGTGCAAATATTGAAGTAATTATATGAAAATACGTCTTATAGATAATTGTAATTAATTTTTGTTACCTACCTTATAATTAAAAGGGTTTATTTATCTATTCTAATCATCAATATTCGAAAAGTTTTCGCCAGCCTCAGAGCTCTCGTACAGTTTCCGATGCAAACTGTCACAATTATCGAAAACAAACGTCAAAGAAGTACGGTCATGCCCCATAGAAAAAAACCCAGACCCGAAAGAAACGAGACATATCTCAGTTTTTTTGTTATTTATTTTATAGTTAAATTATATATTTTTTATATTCGATATCAATGGCTAACTCCAAAATATTGCATTATGTTTTTGTGCAGGCGTTACTCTAAAAAAATACAAAAGCCTATTTATCTACAAAATTCGTAAATGCATGTAACTAAATGACGATACAATAGTTATAGGATGTATCTAAGTGACCTTTATCCGAACGTTAAATGTTAATAGCGTTTATTGGTTTCGGTGCGAGAAGTTATCGAATCCGAGTCGATTTCGCTTTCCGAGACGATTGTGAATAGCCCTGCAGGTCCTTCAAAAGCATCATTGCCATGGCAAGGTCTGAGCACATCGGCAGAATTGGCGAGAAGCTAGTTCGCCTTCCTTCGGGAACTCGTGCATTCTGATCTCTCGCCAAGGCTGTCTAAGGGAACTTCTGTCAGCCATCTCTTCCATCTCTGCACAGGGAGGACGACTCACTGGCCCAAGACGCAAAAGACAAAGCCGACCTTTTAGGTTCCTTTTTGCGTCCAACTCGACTCTTGATGACGGGGGGAAAACACCGCCGACCATCCCGCGGTGTGAGTGCTCCATGCCGGATGTGCTGTTCTCACAGCGCTCGGTTCGCAAAGCACTCCTCTCCCTGGACACCCAGAAGTCGAGTGAGCCTGACGGAATCCCCCTAATTGTGCTGAGGACGTGTGCTCCGGAGTTGACACCGGTCCTAACGCGTCTTTTCCGGTACTCCTACTCCCAAGGCGTAGTCCCGAATTCATGGAAAACCGCTCAGACCCGTCCAACTATAGGCCTATCGCGATCACCTCCTTGTTCTCCAAAATAATGGAATCAATTATTAACTGCCAGCTCATGCGGTACCTTGAGGATCACCAGCTGATTAGTGACCGCCAATACGGTTTTCGTCGGGGTCGATCAGCTGGTGATCTTCTGGTCTACCTAACCCATAGATGGGCAGAGGCAGTAGAGTCCAAGGGGGAGGCGTTGGGCGTTAGTTTGGACATTGCGAAGGCCTTCGATCGGGTTTGGTACAAAGCGCTTCTTTCGAAGCTCCCTTCCTATGGGCTTCCCGAGAAATTGTGCGATTGGATCACCAGCTTCCTTGCAGTTCGGAGCATCAAGGTCGTTGTAGACGGTGCATGCTCCGACTACAAGCCTATTAACGCTGGTGTTCCACAAGGCTGTGTGCTATCACCAACGCTGTTTCTTCTGCATATCAATGATATGTTGCTAACTGGTAACATTCATTGCTATGCGGATGACAGCACTGTTGATGCTCTATACACCGGCCGGGCCAATATTTCTCGGGAAAACGTCGCCGAGTACCGGAACAAACTTGTGTCTGAAGTCGAGTCTTTGCTGAACAAAGTCTCGGATTGGGGGCGACTAAATCTAGTCCAGTTTAATCCTCAGAAGACACAAGTTTGCGCGTTTACCGCTAAAAAGAACCCCTTTGTCGTATCTCCTCAGTTTCAAGGCACTCCCCTTCTTGCCTCAGCCAGTATCGGAATCCTCGGAGTCGACATATCGAGTGACGTGCAGTTTCGTGGTCACTTGGAAGAGAAGGCCAAATTGGCCTCTAAAAAGCTTGGCGTGCGCAGCGGAGCGAGACAGTATTTCATGCCGGCACACCGCCTGCAGCTTTACAAGGCGCAGGTTCGGCCTCACATGGAATACTGTTCCCATCTCTGGGCAGGGGCTCCCCAGTGCCAGCTCCTTCCACTTGACCGCATCCAGCGCAGAGCGGCTCGAATCGTCGACGACCGAGTCCTTTACGATCAGCTCGATTCATTGGCACTGCGAAGAAATGTTGCATCCCTTTGCATTTTCTTTCGCATCTACCACGGGGAGTGCTCTGAGGAATTGTTCGGATTAATCCCAGCTGCCAAATTTCACGAACGCACATTGCGGCAGAACTCCCGATACCATCCATACCATCTGGATGATTGGCGGTCCACTACTGTGCGATTTAGAAGATGTTTTCTTCCTCGCACGACTTCCTTGTGGAATCGATTACCATCAGCGATTTTTCCGGACCGATACGACTTAGGGACCTTCAAGAAAAGAGCGTACTCCTTTTTAAAAGGCCGGCAACGCATCTGCGATTACCTGCCTGGTGTTGCAGCTGTTCATGGGCGGCGGTAGTCACTTACCATCAGGTGAGCCGCATGCTCGTTTGCCCCCACTTCTATAAAAAAAAACATGCCTCGGTCTACAATCCTAAAAATAAATCCTCAGTTCTTTGTAATTTTTCATTTATTACATCTTATCAATAAGCAACTGCTGAATATAGGCCTCTTACATAGACTGCATCATAGGGGGAATACTTGCCATTGTTGCCACGCATGGCAAACGGGTTGGCAACCACAGTTCTTTTTATTCAGCAGTTTTAAGAACGTATTACACTACTCTACATTTTGGAACCGTCACCGTGTGGTGGCGGTGTCAGAGAATCCACTACCCTATATCTATGTGTCGTAAAAGGCGACAGGCAGTCAGTAAAACAGAAGATGGACAGCAACATTTTAACAGCCCAAAATTATAAAAAATGCGTTTGCCGACAAGCCTGCCAAGTGTGAAAACAATGGGTAAACACCTAATGGACTAATGGAATTTTGGTTGACTATAATGAATGAATGAACTAACGAACATTTTCAACAATTCACCTAATTGTAAATATACTTAATTTAAAATCAAAATGTAGAAACAATATTACCCGATAATGTGAAATCTAAAATTGAATACCTTGATATCACTAAAAGAAGCCCGTTTCTGTACACTCATAATATGAAACACATCAACATTAAGTTATTTTACGCAGATATTTTGAGAAAGTTTAGTCATCCCTGGTCGAATGGACCCATTCCTACTGCGACCATAATATGAAAGTGTGACTCTACCAGGTTTAAATTAGGTTTGAGGGAAGTGTTGTTACACTTAAGATGTAAATTAGACAATCAAGAAGGTAATCCCGTGTTACTAATTAAGTACTAATATGTCTAGTTAGTTGTGACTACCTAGTTTGCCTAGCTAGTGGTTGTAAACGTCCCGGCTCGAGCCAAAAAATCAGTTATCGAATTTTCCTGTCATAAAACTCTCAACAGCAGCCCGGTGTCAGGAAGTTGACGGTGTTTCACCCTTGTGACTCGGCAGGCACGTAAAGCCGTTGGTCATGCACCTGATCTCTCTCCAATTGTGTCGGTCCCATCGGTCTATGAGAGTGAGAAAATAGGGTGTATACATACACTCGGACACTATAATCCAGGCCGCCGTAGACGAAATTCGGTATGGTGGACATCATAGTATAGTAATATAGAGTATTTCTATTGTTTTCTCATCTGGTTGGGATATAAATACTATTAACATAAATAAAATACAATGAAAAATTATACTTAATAGAATATATTCAATAAAATATAGTTTAATAAATAAATAAAGCCCAACCAGATGGAAGCTTTCGGCGAGGGATACCAAACGGCCGAGGGTCTGGGGACAGGGAAAGAAACCGGCGGATGATGTGGAGGGTATCGAGGAGCATCGCTTTTTGTATATGAGCCCGGAGCGATCCGTCACGGAGTTCCAGTCGCCTCAGATCACAGAGGCTGACCGAAATTAGCCCGTTCGCAGAAACGACTGTAGGAATTATTTCGGTACCCTACATGTCGGTCACTTCTGAGCCAAGGTCAGACATTTAGTATTATTATAAGTGTGACTAGTGGGTAGTCAGGTGGGGCACCTTGGTGGTCTTGGCGACGCGCTCGCAGGCGTCGGCCAGCTGGCGCTTGAGCTGCTGGTTCTCGGCGGCGAGCGCGTCGAGCACGGCCGCGAAGGCGTCGTCGGGCTCCTCCAGCGAGCCCTCGCCGCCGCTGCACCAGCCGCTCGACTCCGACCCGCCCGGCACCGCGCGCACGCCCACCCCCACGCTACGTACACCATACCACACTAACTCTTTTATTCAAATTACGTTACAAATAGTACCTACTTGATAATTTATAATTTCTGTAAAGGTTATGAACAGAAAGAAGTTGGCTCTACTACTAGATACCTATTTTTTAACAAACTTTTTATAGAATAAGGGCGTCCAACGAGCCCACAGTCTACCTGATGGTAAGTGAATGCTGTAGCTCATAGACATTCATCCTCGATTAAGAATCAAAAAGGTAATGCGTTGTCTTCCTCGAGAACTGCATTTCTCGTTTCGAGGTTCTCCGATTCTCTTTACTCACCACACGAAACGCAGCAGCATTGAGCTGCTATTTTACGTTGATATTCTGTAAGATGTAAGAGCATGTTTCTTTCTAAACCAAATCGTGCTCCACCAACCAAACGTAGCTCTACCACACATAGTATATGGCTTAATATACTGTTACAAAGATGCTATGGCCCAAAGATATCTACATATATCCACAATTAATTAACTGTTTGCAGACGATAGCACTATTTTTGTACAGTGTGACAATGTAGCAGAATATCAAAATAATATTAACTTTGCTATTGAAAATATTATTAAATGGTTAAAAGCAAATAATCTAAAAGTTAATCTGGGAAAAACAAAAATAATGCAATTTACACAAAGAAAAAGTACCCCAACTCAAACGATAAGTTATGGGAATAAAACTATTTCTGAAACAAAAGTTGCTAAATTCTTAGGGTTGTTTATAGATAGCAACATGTCATGGCAATCGCATTCAATAGAAATTTGTAATAAAATGTATAAATTTTCATTTGCACTATATAAACTGTCAAAAATAGCTGACCGAAAGACTGTTCTAACAGCGTACCATGGCTTTGTGGCTTCGACCCTGCGATATGGTATCATATTTTGGGGACTTTCAACATACAGGGAATTAATGATGAAAGCTCAAAAACAGTGTATTCGAGCTATATGTGGGATAAAGCCTACAGAAAGTTGCATACCATACTTTAGATCTCTTAAGATATTAACATTACCCTGTATGTATATACTAGAATCATGTATGTTCGTAAAGTGCAATCCGGATCTTTTTGATATGAGAGTTCAACAATCTTTTGTTAACCTTCGTCCTCGGAAACAAAAAATCCAGAGAACTGTATGTAAAACTGCCCTTATGAAAAAAAGTGTTGTTGAAATGGCCCCTAAATTATATAATAAATTACCTGATCATATAAAATGTTATAATGCGCAAAAATTTAAACGTACTCTAAGTAATTTTCTTATAAATAAATGTTATTATAATGTCAATGAATTCCTATTTACCAATGATTTAAATAATATGTAATTTAATAATTTTGTGATTTTTGACTTTATTTACTTAGTTTAACTGTTATTTTGATTTTTTCATTTATGTTTAATTTTATAAAGTGTGAATATACATATATATTCGTATGCTGTAAAAAGCATTTCACGGAGATACCTAAAAATTATAATATTGTCAACCTTAATACCTGTGAAAACGAATAAATAATTTTGATTTGATTTGATTTGATTAAGAATCAAAATGCAGACTCGTTGTAGCCCCTAAAGAACTAAGATGGAATGTCTCTTCTTCAGTAAAAAGGCTCTCCGATTCTCTACACTCACCATAGGCAACATTGAGCTACTATTTTACACTGGTATCCTGTGAGAGCCTAGTTCTTCACCAATCGAATCGACTTATTTGTGCTTCAAGCATAATATAGCTGCAGCTTGGTTCTACCACGCGTACGAAATAGCACTAACCTTGTCAAATCGGGTTGCGACCTGGACAAACTAAGCTTCTCTTTGGTAAGCTTGTCCTTAGCAGCGTTGCGGTCACGGGGGTGACGCGGGGACGCGGGCGGGGTGGGCCCGCGCGGCGTTGGCGACTGCGCCACCTCCTTCGCCAGGTGCTTCAGCACGGATGACTGGTTCAGGAAGTCGTCCGGGATCTCCGTGATCTCCTAAATCACGTATTGTTTTTATTTTACCAGGGCCTTTATTATCATTATCGCCCTGTTGAAAAGAGGCCCAGTATCTGTCACGAAGCACGGTTCTGAGACACCTGCATCCATTAACTAATTGCATGGGCATAACAAATCAAGTCGTCACTGCAAACATACTTTGTTTGTTATAAAAATATTAAAATTTGGTTTCAATAATTAAACCGTCATCTTAAAACGCAACTCTTTATATTGGATTGGGATCGCACTATACCACGTTTGCCTGTATGAAGCTACCTGTCTTACTTTCCAAGAATTTTGGTTATATGGTCAACCCAACACAGCTAACTAATGTTCTAAGTTATTTTGGTTACACTGCTTTTACTGCAGATATCACTGTAAAGATTTTGATTCACAGAAAAACTCCGGACAAAGTTGACTCCATAGTTTGCTGAGTGAGTTTAAGCTTAAAAAACCTCTTATATGACTTGTTATTATACATACATTAATTATGGTAGTTTTGAGGTTTTTTTTTCATTGTTTTACAGTAGAATACCGATAATAATAAAATTTTACTTTTGGGAAAAAAAATAGATATGGTATTTCTTCGTAATTTTCTCTAAAACTATCATAATAATTTGAAATTTTCCGCAGAGATAGTCATTGCGCTTTTCTTTTACTCGTCCCTTTAAACTTTGATTTTATGGGTTAATTTCGAGAATTAATATGAAATGAAAAAAATACAAAGCCATTGTGTAAATTGCTAAATGAAAACTCAATGAAGAATATGTCATACATTGATCATGTAATAGCCACGTAAAAGAATCCAACACATAATTTCATCGTATAGGTGATCTTATAGCTTCCAATATATGATGATATAATAATCTCTTTATGCCAGACTTGAAAGACCAACGTCAAGGAGCAGCGTTAAATATATTTGTGTATCGTCAAGCTGCCTGGGTGGCGACTAAGGTCAACTCCTAGATAAGAAAAGGTCTTAATTTTTTTAGTATTTTCAGGAAAAAAATTATAATTATTTACTTGTACTCCATGATCAGGAGGGCTGGTGTAGATCCTTTGTCCGCCAATATCAATGTAGTTGGCATTGGTCGTTACTGCTTGCTCCTTATGAGCTTTAGGCAATGGTATGCCACTCAGCTTCTTGCCTGCTTCGCTTTTCTTCAATGTATGGTATGGTGATGATTGCGTATTTGAGTGTTTCACTTCACTGTTTGTTCGTTCGTGTTCACTAGAATAAAAATAAAATGTAGAAAGTAGGTCATCAGTTTTTTCTATCTATAAGTTAATCAAAAACACATTAAGTTGACTACATTACTCAAACCTCTACTGAAATATACAATAACTATCATAATTTAAATAAATAAATTAAATTAAATTTGAGATACAAAACTATAAAAAAAATTCAAGCAATTTTTTCTACGGCTCAGTAACACAGGGACTAGATAAGGATAATAGTTACAAATAATTATAATTGTTTATTATGTTTATACATATATATGAATATATTAAGTTCAGCAAGTTATTAATAATATAACATGGCTTCCATTGTAACTTTCAATTCAATATTATTATTATTGACTTCAATCTCTGTTTGTCTACAGGACTCTTTGCTACATGAAATTACTAGACCAGAAGAGAAATAACCGGAAACCATACATTTATTTGTGGCATATGTACCACACATGTCGTGGATATCGCATACAAAGGGTGGAAATATAAGCAACTATAATAGTTTTTGAAATGCTAATTAAAATTACATTAATTTGAATTTGGAACTCAATGTCAAATGTAAGTTATTGATAGTCAAAGGAGTATTAGAGAATAACAACTTAAAAGGCTTTCTTTTATTTTAGGCCAGTCCTAATCTTACTGTTCTACAACTGTATTTTATTGATAAGGACCAAATATACAAACCGAATAGGTGTTGGTCGAGTTGGCCATGACTCATCTTGATTATGAATTATCAATGTGTTGTATGATGAAGATGATACGTCTAATGAACTCCGATTACTATTGCCACCTCCTACAGAATCCTTTAAAGAGTTGCGGTTGCTCCCTGTCACACTTTCCTAAAATAAAAATAAAATATTTTAACAATTTTTTGAGCACATTTAAGTATAATTCCTACAATCATATATGATATTAGAGAAAAAACTCATAAAAACCATGTAAAATTAAGTATTTAATGTTCAGTACATCAATATTAAGTGCTTGTTCACGTTGCGCGGTGGAAGAGCACGGTCACGAAATATCAAACAGCATAGTATGCAAGTGTTCACGTATAAAACGCAGGTGCGGTGGAAGTAGCGAAAAAGATGGCGGCTATCGGGCACGGCGCGCTCGCGGCAATATCAAACGTGTGAAGTTGTTTGTGTGTGTTCACGTCGCACTAGCGGCGGAGAGCACGATTGACTCGCAACTTCACGTAAGATCGACCATTCAACCCAATGGACTCGTCTCTCATAATTATTCCCCTCTGCCGGTACTCTTTTTTTATTAATTTCGTGCACACTAATTCTACTTTTTGTCATCTCCCATTTTAGGTAAGAATTTTCGATTAAAAATAAAAGTTAAGTTCATCGATCATGTTCACAACCTCTGACAACACGTTACACTCGCGCAAACGCCTGGCGGCCAACGTGAACACGAGCTCGCCCAAACCACCGCGCTGACTGTCGCCGCCGCACCCGCGCGTGTTCTATGTGAACAAGCCACGGAGCAAATAGAAAGAGGAGACGGCCTAAGCAAATGTGCACTGTGATTCTAACTAGGTTCTGACATCATCACAGTGGGCGTGGCTTTAGTTAGTATACTGCCAGCCTTCGTCCTGTGCGCTTATGTGTGTATTAAGAAGAAAAGGATGAAGTGTTGTGTTTTATCGTGTGAAAACTACTCAGATAGACGCTCTGATGCCTTGGATGGTATCACATTTCATTTGTATTTTTATACCTCATTTATTAAAATAGTTCTAGAAAAATCTTTGCGTCGGCTTTCAAAGTTAATTAAATATATTCGACACTAGATGGAGACACTTTGTGTCATGGGAACTAAAAATATAAAGGTACGTTGAGCTCAGTATTGGTAAAATAATTATACGAATGTGTTGAAATTTGTTTTGCATTCAGTCTTAAAAAAAATTTAATCGCCAAAATATTATTTTGATAGTTTTTATAATCATTTTGTGAACAGGCCGCCATCTATCGTCAAGGTAGCTAAACTACATTGCAACATCAATAAGGAACGACGCGTGTAGTTTTACTATTTATCGGTAGAAAATAGTTAAGTGGACGGGGCTTAACACCCTCTCACCCCGGAAATTGTCACGCGTTGTTACATACTGAAATCTAATTACAACACGTCTTTGTATTTGCTCCGTAGAACAAGCACTAACATAAAATGACTTAAAATCACACATTGTTACAAGTGCAACAGCAAGCGCAAGTATAATTACTCTGCATTTAACAATACGCATGCCAATTTTTTTAGTATACGAGGGCGGCACTGAAAATTTCGGGAATCAATGAAGTGACACAACATTACTATTTAAAAATGTATTTATTGCTTTTCGAAGTATTCTCCGCGAAATTTTACACATTTTTCCATACGATGGAACCAATCATTGAAGCAACCATTCCATTCGGAAGTTGGGGTCTCCAAAATAGCCGTTTTGTAGGCGTCCACAGCTTCTTCAGGTGATGAAAATGTCTGTCCACGCAATTTATTCTTTATTTTAGGGAAAGTATAGAAATCATTAGGGCTTAGGTCGGGGCTGTACGGCGGATGGTCTAATAATTCTATGTTTTCTTGCTCTAAAAGCTCTTTTGTTCTGTGTGCGGTGTGAGAACTCGCATTGTCGTGATGGAGGATGATGCGGCGGTTGCAGTTCTCTTTACGGAAACGACCTGTGGCAAACAAATGCCAACATACCATTCTGCATTAACCGTTGTTTGTCCCTCAAGAGGAATAGTCGTATCATGGCCGGTTTTGGAGACAAACGTGGCCACCATTTTTTTTGCAACACTCCGTGAACAAACAATTTTTGTTGGCTTTAACTCATTCTCGAACACCCAAACTCGTGACTGGTTTTTTGTTTCGAGTTCGTACGCGTATATCCAGGATTCGTCACCTGATACGATGTTGTATACAGCATTTGAGGATCCTGCGTGGAATCTTTCGAGAGTTCTGACGCACCAAGTAACGCGAGCCGCTTTTTGCTCTTCACAGAGCGAATGCGGTATCCATCGGGAAAACAACTTTTTTACACCAAATGCAGAAATCATCCGGTCAACACACTGTTTTTGTGTTAAATCACTTCGAAAGTCATAATAAATCATCGCTCTTGAATTTTCTCGAGTCAATTCCATTTTATCAACGACTAACTTCTTCACAACGAAAAACAATTTTGACAAAACCTTGTGACAAGACCGAGAATCTTTTTTTAAATAAATAAATGGCATTCGATTTTTAAACCCAAGGATTGAAAAGTCCTAAAAAAGATTTTAATATGACAGGAACAGTGGAAATATTCCATTCCCGATACTTTTAGTGCAGCCTATGTATGATTGTATTTATAATTTAAAAAAAATTATTGATCAAACTTAATTGTATTTGAGATTTGTTGATAGTTAGTGTAGATAGTTAATGTGTTGTGTGCATTAATGATGCACTTCAATCACATTTTATTTGATTGATTCATGTGACTTTAGTTTCACATGCACTTGAGTAAAAACTAAAAGTACAGTCATAATTAAGTGATTCCTTTATTCATCCTACGCCAATAATTTGTTTTCTGTTACTTATTTACATAGTTAAAAAATCGCTCAAGAAAATCAAGTTGAATGTTACACAAGGTACTCGGATGAAAAATATTTTACTCAAGTAACAATGTGCATTATGGGAATATGTTATTTCCATAATGCACTTAGGTTTAAAGATATTTATTACTCATTAAGACAAATGCATGTTACTTACATGAGTACATCATCATCATCATTACAGCCCTTCACAAGTCCACTGCTGAACATAGGCCTCTCCCAAGGAATGCCACAAAGCACGGTCCTGAGCCACCTGCATCCATCGACTTCCTGCATATCTTACCAGGTCGTCACTCCATCTAGTGGGGGGGACACCCAACACTTCGCCTGCCGGTACGAGGCTGCCACTCGAGAACCTTTCTTCCCCATCGGTTGTCGGTCCTTCGAGCTATATGGCCGGCCCATTGCCACTTCATCTTACTAATCCGTTGGACTATTTCGGTCACTCTGGTTCTACTGCAGATATCCTCATTTCTGAGTTTATCACGCAGAGAAACTCCGAGCATAGCCCTCTCCATAGCTCGCTGAGCAACCTTGAGCTTCCTCATCCGGCCAGCAGTGAAGGACCACGTCTCAGTTCCGTATGTCATCACAGGCAACACGCACTAGTTGTACAGTCTCGTTTTCAAGTTTTGAGGTATACCTGACGAGAAGATGTGCCGTAATTTCCCGAACGCTGCCCAACCGAGTTGAATCCGTCGATTGACCTCTCGGTCGAATTTGGACTTACCTAGTCGGACTATTTGTCCCAGGTAAACATACTCGTCAACAACTTCCAGCTTAGTGCTCCCAACAACTACCGGCATAGGTGTGACATGGACATTAAACATGATCTTTGTTTTGTCCATGTTCATCTTAAGACCTATCCATTGGGAAGCACTATTGAGGTCATTGAGCATAGTGCTTAGGTCCTCCAGCGATTCTGCCATAAGGACTATATCGTCAGCAAATCGAAGGTGAGTAATGTACTCGCCATTGATGTTGATACCGTATCCTTTCCAGTACAGAAGCTTGAAAAAGTCTTCCAATGCAGCGGTGAAGAGTTTCGGGGATATGACGTCACCCTGTCTTACACCTCTCTGCAATTGGATAGGTTTCGTACTCTGGTTCTGTACTCGGATAGCCATCGTAGCCCTACTGTACAAGCACTTCAGCACTTCGATATACCGACAGTCCACTTGGCACCGCTGAAGGGACTGCAGCACCGTCCAAATTTCGACGGAATCAAAGGCTTTCTCATAGTCCACATACGCCAGACATAGTGGCAAATTATACTCCTCTGACTTTTGTACAATTTGCCGAAGGGTATGTATGTGGTTTATGGTGCTAAAGCCTTTTCGGAAACCGGCTTGTTCGGGAGGCTGGAAGTCGTCAAGTCTGCGCGCGAGACGATTCGTAATGACTCTCGAAAACAGCACGTAGAGGCGGCTCAGAAGGGAAATCGGTCTATAGTTCTTCAAGAGAGCGTTGTCGCCTTTATTGAAGAACTAGACCACCACACTTCTGCTGCACGCCTCCGGTGTAATGCCACCATAGAGGACGGAATTAAAGAGCTTCTGAAGGACTTCAAGTACCGGTTTTCCACCTGCTTTCAGAAGCTCCGCTGTAATTCCATCCTCGCCTGGGGCCTTGCCGTTTTTAAGGTGCTGGAGAGCCATTCTAAACTCGCTCATACTGACGTCCGGGATATCATCGGAATAATGTCGGATAAGACTCGCTCTTGGATCGTTACTCACACTTGCGTGTGGCTCCAACGATGACGTGTACAGCTGCTCATAGAACCTCTCAATCTCACTCAAAATCTCAAGTGCCCCGGAAACGATGCTGCCACATTCTGTCTTCAGCTTTGACAGTTGGCTCTTTCTGGCAGACAGATCTCTGGAAAAGACTTTGGAGCCTTGGTTCCGCTCGATCGCTTCTTCAATACGAGCTGTATTGAAGTTGTATAAGTCCCGCCGCATGCATTTAGAGATCTGTCTGTTCAGTTGCCTGTATGCTGTCAAATCTGTTGAAGAATGTAGCTTCATCTCCCGTCTAACAGCCATGAGATTAAGAGTGTGATCGGAGAGTTTTTGTGTTGCAGAACTTAGCTCCGACCGCATGGACAGTTTCCACGAGCTTGTCATTCATATCGTCCACTTCATTGCAGTCTTCTAGGCACTGAAAACGGTTTTGTAACTCGAGCTGAAAGGTTTTGGAACTTTGGATTAGAGCAGGAGGGGGACGGAGCGTTGACTTCATTAGACGAGACCTCTCCAACTTAACGTTTAGGTTCAGTGTGCCTCTAACCATTCAGTGATCGCTGCCGGTTTTCACCCTCGCGATCACTGAGACATCACTGAACAGTTGTCGTCTGGTCGTCATAATGAAGTCAATCTCATTCTCCGCTTCCTGTGGGGCCGCTTCTGGAAGAAAGAGTTCATCATAAAGAGTCCCTCTTTCTTCATGAAGTCAGCCAGCTGCTGGCCCCTTGGGTTCCGTTGCCCTATTCCAAATTTCCCTACTTTCAGCTCACCATTCTCTCTTGTGCCTAGTTTTGCATTGAAGTCTCCCATTAACACCGTATATTGGGTTTTGGAGGAATGCATGGCTCTAGAGATATCCTCATACATTTCCTCCACCTCCTCATCGGAGTGTGCCGAGGTTGGTGCGTAAACATGTATGACCTTCAGCGAATACCGTTTGGTGATTCTGAGTATAAGGTACGCAACCCTCGTCGACACACTCTCAATCTTTACAACGTTGTTAACGAGAGACTTGTGGACGATAAATCCGACACCTCCTTGGGACAGATGGTCGCCCTCCCGGTAATAGAGCAAGTTCCCGGATTCGAGGATTACCGTTTCCTCCCCCTCTCTTCGGACTTCGGATAATCCTATAATATGCCAGCGTAACTTGTCTATCTCTTCTTCCAGCTCCACAATCTTCTCGTCAGTTCTCAGGGTGCGTGCGTTGTATGTTGCCAGGTCGAGCCGTCGTAGGTGGCAACCGAACCTCCACCGTAGATTCTTAGCACGCCCTGCCCCGCCGTTACCATGGTCGCCACCGTAGCCAGGAATAGCGGGGCAGCCGGGGACTGGGGGCCGTCTCTTAGTAACTTTATACATTTGGGGGGTATTTGCCATAGTTGCCACGCTTGGCGAGCGGGTTGGCAACCGCAGTTTTTTTATTGTATTTTTGCTGTTATCAGGAAGATGCTGCTGCCCATCTCCTGCCTGTTTCCCTTTGTCGCCTTTTACGACACCCACGGTAAGATATGGGGTAGTGGATATTCTTAACCGCCACTACACGGCTGCGGCCACGGCACGGCATGCACGGCATTAGTACATAGCTGAAAGTAAATTCCACAGTCGTACACCAAATTAAATTCACCAAAAATACACACACTTCACCCGCGCAACGCATTCACGATTATTTAAGTCAGTCATTTGCAGCAATATATTCATACAATTGTTTCTTGAATGTGTTAAACAAGCTAACATTTTTTATGTGTGCGGGTAATTTGTTATGAAGTTGCGCTCCTTCAAATGTTAACATTGTATTACCGTAATTTGTTCGAGTCTTGGGTAAACCTTTTTACGTTTTACGAATTGTAAGCTAGTATGAATATCATTATTTAGAGCTTTTCTTATAAAAATGCAAGTATTGTATATATACATTTTTTTAATATTAAATATTTTTGTTTCATTATAGATGTTTTTGGCTTTTGTTAAAAAGTGATAATTAAAGAGCACTTTAACGAGTTTATTTTGTAAAATTTAAAGTTCACTTATCCTTGTCTTTACTGCATTCCCCCAGACTTCGATGAGGTAGGTTAAATGTAAGACGTAATTTATTAGAAATGCATCGGACAATATGACGAAGACAACAAAGTGACACCAGTTTCGTTTTTATGTGTTCGATGTGGTGCTTCCATGTTAAATGAGTGTCAATTTGTAAACCAAGGTATTTTTCATGACTTTTCATTTCTAAGGAAATATTATTAATTGTAAGCGCAGAGTGGTAGGGAATGAATATAATTATCTTTCGCCCTAAATAAAATGTAAGAAGTTTTTGAAATGTTTATGGTTAATAAGTTATATTGAAACCAATCATATAGGGTGTTTAAATCGTCTTGAGCCTGCGACATTATGTCGTGTATTGATGAACCCAACTAAAATAGGCAGGTATCATCGGCGTAAAGGGTAATATGGCCATTTAAACCTAGGTCATGTATGTTGTTAATATAGGTCAAAAAGAGCAACGGGCCTAAAATTGATCCTTGAGAAATTCCACAAGCTATTGGTAATGAATTACTTTGAATGTTGCCTATTTTGACTACTTGTGATCTATTTTCCAGGTATGATTGAAACATGTTCAAAACTTTGCTGGTAATACCGATTCTTTCTAACTTTTTAATAAGCAATTTATGACTGACCGTATCGAACACCTTTTTTAGATCTATGAATATACCTAGGACTATATCTTTTGATCTATGCTATGTTTTATTTTAATTATAAGATCAATTATTACAGTAAGTGTGCTACTTTTTGGCCTGAAACCATATTGTCGTTCAGATATAAAGTTAATAGAGTTCAGATACTTTTGTAATCTTGTGTGTAAAACCTTTTCAAGAACTTTTGATAAAACTGGCAACACTGAGATAGGTCGGTAATTGCCTGGATTAGTTTTTGCTCCTGATTTGTAGATAGGAGAGACTTTAGCTACTTTTAGTGTATCTGGGAAAACACCATCAAGAAGTAATTTATTAAAGCATTCCGTTATTTTGTTTATTATAAAAAAAATTATACATTTTATAATTTTGGTACTAATTCCGTCTAAACCAATGCTGCAATTGGGGTCAAGATTGTTAATAATATTTAAAATTTCTTGTTCAGTACATGGTTTGAATTCCGACATTTGTGAGTTTTGTTCGGTAGATTTGGGCAAGGCCTGAATGTAGTTATCATGAAATTTTAATGGAATTTTATTTGCTAAATGTGTACCTATTGTTGAGAAATATTCGTTAAAGACTTGACAGATATGGTGAGAGTCTGTTATTTCTCTTGAGTCTACTACAAGCTTTGAAGGAGTGCAGCTTTGTTTGATTTTATTTGTTGACAAATTGTTTACTACGTTCCACATTTTCTTGGCATTGTTACTATATTTGGCAAATTCTTTGTGGTAGTATGATTCCTTCGTGACTTGGATTAGTTTTACAACTTGGTTTCTTTTTGACTGAAATTTTTCCTTTAAAGCATCTGGAGTTTTCTTGAGCTCGGCCCATAAAATGTTTCTTCTGTTTATTTCAGTTATTACATTTTTATTTATCCAGTCCTTTTACGGCTGGTTAAGGATTTGTTTTTACTACTTTACTGTCCTCTGCGCGTCTTTTAATATGTTCCTCTAATCTTGTGTAGTCTATATTATATACATTTTTTGTTGTGATATTATGTGTTTTGGCTAAGTGGAACAGTTTTTCATAATCTCTAGCTACATACTGGGAATATATTTTCGGTGGAGGTTGCACTTTTTTAATTTCTAAATATATCTGCTTGTGGTCTGATAGTGAGGAGTTAACTGTAATCATGTGAAAACTATCATCTTTCAGGTTGGTGCTTACACTTTCATGTTATTACATCCATTTATTATGTTATAGTCAAAAGATGATATCTTAAACTTTCAAGTTCATCCGAAACACCGTCACTGCAGCCTCCAACACCGTATTCACAGCCTCCAACACCGTCACCGCAGCCTCCAACACCATATTCACAGCCTTCAACAACATATTCACAGCCTCCAACACCGTCACCGCAGCCTCCAACACCGTATTCACAGCCTCCAACACCATCGCCACTACCTTCAATTCCACCGTCTCCTCATCCACCACCACCTTCAGTTTAAACTGGACATACTCTATAAATTCTGTGGTTTCAACAAAAGATAAATAAATGTTTAATTCAATAATATAAAAGTTGTTTTACTTACCTTGATCCAATCTTTGAGTGCCTCACATAATGCCTGGCAAACTTCTGGTACTATTGATGAAATTGTCTGTTTGGATACTCTAAAAAGATATCGTAGGCTAGTATATGAGTCCCTAGTTGCTAAAAATTTTAACGTGATAGCAAGTCTTTCTGTCACTGAAATGGCTTTTCGAAAGTGAGTGTCCATATTTTAATACTGGGCTCAATTAATGATTTTAAAAATTCAAAATCATCTGGTGTCATTCTTGTGAAATTTTTAGTGTTTCTTCAACAGCTTTATATCTCATGTCTTTTATTAGTCTCACACTACTATGTAGCATTCTGTTCATATATTTTTTTTCATCCACTAACGAACATTTCGCTTCGATCTCTTGAGAATAATATGAAAAACAATTACAAAAGCAACCGCTGCACTTCGCCGACGTACAACGTCCATGATTGCCGCGCACAAAATGAACGTTCGTTGGCGGATCGGCTGCCGCGCGACTGCTTTGCTGTACTTAAATTGTGCGCTAAAATTGGTTCGCTAGCCAAAACACAGGTTCGCAGCGGGCGAACAATGCTTGTGCAGCATTATTTTTTAGAATTTTATCGTTTAGAAGCAATTTTGCTACATTCACAGTTACTTCATTTTCTTTTTTAGAATCATATCACAAACAAGTGCTTAACATACTAAAAGTGCTATCTTTCAAATAAGGAAATGAAAGTTTATTACCTTGAGTGAGTTTCTGTTATTTCCATTGTTACTGGTCTGACTTTGATTTTCTTGACCCTGTGGTTCAACTCTAGCTGTATGACGTACAACATACCGCTCCTCTCTGGATAAATTCTCATTAGATGTTGACACATCAGTCTCACTGCCAGACAGGCTTTGTGGAAAGCCACTAGACACTGCAATTAAGTATATAACAACTAAATTGATTGGCAACATATGTTTTGATAATATCAAACACTTTTATTTTGTACTAAATACTCCTTGTCAAAAGCTATATAAGTCCTAGTCTTGGTCATAATTAGTTTTAACCAATATATTTCGGTCAACATCTCATTTTTACCAATATTTTTTCAGTCAAAACGATTTAGACTTTGCCTAAACTTCTTTAACCAAAATACTTTTAGTTTGTTTTTGTCAGTCAAAATTAGTTTACTACATCTATTTACTATATTAGTGTACGCCACACATTCGTGGAGTGGCATGGGAAGTAGCGAGAAAAGGAGGTGGAGACATAGTATCGCAACAATACTTGTCATGCCACACATCATGCTCCCCATCATGTTCATTGCTCCAACGGCAATATGAGCGCGAGTGGCCGGCCACATAATCGCGAAAACGCAGTCCGAATCGAGTTTTCGTTACGGAAGCATCATTCTATTGCAATGAATAAATGTCATCCACCATCTCCTTTGGTAAGGACGACGACTTATATTTCTTTTTATGACATTGATATAATTAGCTATACTAAATATGCATATAGCGTGCATGCTGCCACAGTTTCAACACCCATTTTGTTGCAAATGATAATAACCTAGTGCGAAATGTCATGAATAGATGTGCAATCCACTCGCAGTAGTAGTGTGTGTGCAGAGAGGGCAACATCGCAGCAGCGCGAGGAGTAGAGCGGTGCGCAGCACGAGGAGTATAGTGTGGCAGAGCTATTATGTCAAATGAGCAAGAGATTCCATTGATTATTGCCCTCTGAATACTATCACAATTTTCAATTCAGCAGGACATAATGATTTCTTATATTTACGTGAAGACTACACATTAAATGAAACTAATTTTTATGGATTTTATCGTGTTTAATATAACTTTTTAATTCCAGACGTTTCGGTTGCTTTACAGCACCCATGGTCATTTTTTATAATTCAATACGATTTAACGACGAACTCCCTAAAGCATTGAAATCACTCGGCTTTGGTTGGTTTAGCTTGTCTTCCATACAATGTTTCACTCTATATAGCATTACACCCACTCTCAATAACAACAACAATTAAATAATAAAAATCACTGTGTATTAACAAAAAAGTGTCTGAAATAAACTTTTTCTTTTTCTCATACAGATTTTTCTTCATTACATTTATTGACACATCTCTATAACGTCAAAATATGCACAGTACCTTGAATGTCGTTATATAGAGTTTACACTGTATTATTCATTTCGGTATCATAATAGACATATTATTTCATCACTAATAAAAGCCTTGAATTATTTATCTACACTCAAATTATTGATACTAAATGTTCTTTATTTACATTTAATCTGATTTATATTATTTTAGTCCATGGATGGACATACCAAGCGAGTCCAATTTTAAATAAAAAATTTGCTTTTTTGATTATAATTATTTACAATAACACATTTTATTTATTATTGTTATTATATATCACTAGTTGCACAGAACCTTCAGGAAACGAATTTCACTTATGAAACAACAGAAGCATGCAACATATTATAAACGAAAAACTAAGTTTGTCTCAGAAGTGTAGGTAGTAATAATCCTAAAAATACAATAATTCAAAAATGGGTTTTTAATTTAAATTTAATGATAAGTGGCAAAATATACATGATTTAAGTCTAAAGTAAAACCTAAAGTAGTTACAAAATGTTAAGATCAAAAATTATGATTCATAGTATTGGAATGCTGAATCTATGTTCTACTTTAAAATTACAACAGCACATACCTGGCTGTTTCTGTGTCCTCTGGATGTTATTAGTGAATGAAAGAAACCGCCCTGTAGGGCGCATGGATCCCATGTTTCGTCAGTAACCAAACGTTTTCAACAAGAAACCATTTCACATATCATTTAAGCGATTAATCAACCCACCTATACACTATGTTAGTAACATCTGTAATTTAAGTCACATCTGATTAAACGAAATACTATAAGAAAAACTCAATATCTTCGTATTAAAATCTAACGTAACAACAAAAACCTTTTTCTGTTTGTGGTAAGCTTGAATCGTAATAAATGTAAATAATTTTCTTACAATGACCACAATTTTAATATATTAAGTTTTGCTTTAATAATAAGAGATTAATAAATAAATAGGATTCAGTAAATCCAATTATTCCCGTTTATTAACTCATAGTTCGATTGGATAAATTTGGGTTTGGGTAAGGTTTGTGTAATTGTAAAAATTCCTTGGTTATAAAAAGATACTCTGTGGTAAAAATGCATAAAAATGTAAAATAGCCTGCTGTCAATGTCAATAGATCAAGGAAAAGATATTTCTTTGGTATCAAACTTGTACGGATGTACTATTGCCAGAATCAAGAAATATCCTTTATAATAATTTGTATAAAAACTTCTTTACATGTTAAATCTATAATATATTGCGTTTTTGGGAGATTTCAACGGCAGCTTGAGCCAATAGACACTATATGACGATAATATCTGAAGGCGCTTCAGCAGGCACATTATTTTGAAATTCACATGACGATCGCATATGATGATCACATAGCACTTGTTTCATCGTTTCCACTTTGCATTAGGCCTGGGTCGTATCGTGTTTTCTACGAATCGTATCTATATCAGATTTTGAATCTCAATATCTGATATCAAAACTATATATTTAAATATCTAAATATTCTGCGTACGCGTTAATATTTTCTACTCCGATACGCTTTTGAAACCAACTTCAAAAAAAGGAAAGTCCAAAGAATGTAGTAACTGTCTTATACAGGAAGGTCTTTACTCGACCCGTATGTATGTACATATTGCATGCCTTAAGCGAAAGCGCAAAGTATGTTCTACTATCGCCTAAAAATGAATATTCCAGCGTTTTGTCGCATGAAATCGTATCTAGCAATCTAATTTGATCATATAAGTGATATAAAAAGCACATTGTCAGAAAGATAAATGATTGTTAAACTTATTAATATATTTTTAAATCGATTAATTGCTATTTTTAAATAAAAAAGGGATTTTAGTGGCTTATGGTGTGGATTTATCAAGTCCGCAAAGCTTGTAAACACGATAACTTTAGAAAATTTAAATTGTTCAGCTCAATATATTTTTAAAACTCTTCATCTATTATGTGGTAAGCCATTGAATGTAAATGGAATTTAGTTTAGTTATAATAAATTTTTTTCGGCTGCGAAATGGCGAAATTTTCGGTGTATTCAGCAGCCTTGTATGAAAAATTATTACTAAATAGAATAGAGACTGCGTCACTCAGTTCGGCGTCAGTCGCCGTCGTGAGTGGACATTGTTTCGGTTGTTTGCAGCACTCAAAAAGATCGCTATACAAATACACAATATTCGAATAACCAAATTTCTTAAATACTTCATTATAATAATAATGAGAGATTTTTTTATTACAATATTTTAAAAGCACAGAATCAATAATAGTAGTACGTACTAAAAGTAAGTATCAATTTTTTCGTCATAGGTGTCATTTTCATGGCTTTCGAGGGTGTTGAAGCCGATAGGGTTGTCAAAATGTAAATCCAAGATGGCGGCTGAATTAGGTACCAATTTTTTCATCATGGGTGTCATTTTCATGGTTTTCGAGGGTGCTGAAGCCGATAGTGCTATCAAAATGTAAATCCAAGGTGGCAGCTGCAATAGGTATAATTTTTTTCATCATGGGTGTCATTTTCATGGTTTTCGAGGGTGTTGAAGCCGATAGGGTTGTCAAAATGTAAACCCAAGATGGCGGCTGAATTAGGTACCAATTTTTTCATCATGGGTGTCATTTTCATGGTTTTCGAGGGTGCTGAAGCCGATAGTGCTGTCGAAATGTAAATCCAAGGTAGTGGCTGCAATAGGTATAATTTTTTTCATCATGGGTGTAATTTTCATGGTTTTCGAGGGTGTTGAAGCCGATAGTGCTGTCGAAATGTAAATCCAAGATCGCGGCTGCGATAGGTATCCATTTTTTCATCATGGGTGTCATTTTCATGGTTTTCGAGGGTGCTGAAGCCGATAGTGCTGTCGAAATGTAAATCCAAGGTGGCGGCTGCAATAGGTATAATTTATTTCATCATGGGTGTCATTTTCATGGTTTTCGAGGGTGTTGAAGCCGATAGTGCTGTCGAAATGTAAATCCAAGATGTCGGCTGCAATAGGTATCAATTTTTTCATCATGGGTGTCATTCTCATGGTTTTCGCGAGTGTTGAAGCCGATAGTGCTGTCGAAATGTATCTAAACTACTTTTAAAAATTCCGTATAATCATGTTATACGTCATTTCTTTAATGTGCTTAGGGCATGCCTAATTGGATTTATCAATTTATTATGAATGTTAGCGATTTTCGGAAATCTAAAAAAAAATAATTCACGAATTTTTATTATATTTTATTAACTTAATCTTCATAAGTCGTTATTCTTGTTGGTTATTCTTTTTTGAAAATAATTTCCATATGATATTGATTAAATAGTTATTAATAGTTAAATTAAAATAGTAGATATTTACAGTGTTTTTATTATTTATTTACAACACTAAATGTAAATGCAAAAAGAGCAACTTTCTTCTAATGCAAAAATAATATAATATGCACTCGATTTTAGGCTTTAAAAAACAATAAAATTTGAAATGTATCATTATTAGGCCACATAAATTAAACTTTAATACCTATAACGCTCGCGCTCTGTCGCACACGGCGAATCTAGCCACCGACCGATGTGATGCGATATAGGCATCGCGGCGGTACGCAAATATCAGATTATGTAATACATAGTTTTCGAAAGAATCAGTAATACCTATATCGGTCGCGCTCTGCCGCACACAGCGAATCTAGCCACCGACCGATGCGAAGCGATATACGCATAACGGCGGTACGCAAATATCAGATTTTTTAATATATAGTTTTCGAACGAACCAGTAAGCGGTTTTTAGATATTGTACCAATATATAGATTTCGTATCAGTATACGGTTTGCATCGCCCACCTCTACTTTTCGAGAAGAAGTTTTTGAACGAATGACTTTATAGGATAATTTCTTATTACTTGACACAGGCACATGAGTAAAGAAACCGACCAGAGGGGAAGCTACATACAAATGACTCGCTGCGATTACACCCATACATAGTGCAGCGATGTGTGCGTGAGCTCTCACCGACAGGTTCACCGACGCTCCGTCGGGGTACAAACCGGTTTGCGCCGGCTTAGTCGGAGTATCCATGAAAGGGCTGTCGTCACAGAATAAATAATAGTACTAACGTACTGTCGTGCGCATTTAAATAAATAGAACAACAATATTTCGATATTTTATACATCAATTAATTTACTAAGTTTTTTTGCAATTATTAAATAGTTACATTTAAGTATTTTAATTAAAATAATTAAGAATTAAGTTATTATTAATTTATATAAGTAAATAATAAGTATTTTGTATAAGCAAAAATGCCTAATAGTTGTACAGTATCCATGTATAATTATAGAGAAAATAAGGATATTTCCATTTTTTTTGTACCCGAGAGATCAAGTGAAGTACCTAAGTAACTTTTTACGTATTATATACAATAAAACTAGGTAAAAACATAGATAGGCAAGTGAAAATGTGTTAGATAGGTACGTCGCCTAATGATGAAGCCGGTCTCATCTACTTGAAACGTTAGTCAGTCTAACCTTGACAGTGCCGTAGATGGCAGGATATCCTACATAATAAGGCTAAATGTGTAACTTTATCCACCCACTTTAATACAGAGGTAGGTTGCTTCCTGAGGAAAGATATAAGCTACTTTTTTGCGAGTCGCGATCCCAGGAGTAAATACCACTGCATTATGGTTGGAATACAATCGCCAGACATTGGTGGGGGTGATGGGATTGGTGTTGGTGGAAGTTGTGCTGGTGTTTGTAGATAGTGTTGCTGATGATGTCAGTAGTGGTCGAGGTGGTAGTATCGTAGGTAGTGGACCAACAGTGGCTCCATCAACACCACCACAATTTTTTCCTTAAATTATTCACATGCATCATGTGACAACCCTATCAGAATAGGTATACATTTTCGACCTTGTTAAGAAGCTTCCCCTCTGGTCCTTACTCTTTACTCTGTGACACAGGCAAATGTACAAAAGTATTAATGTACGCATCCATCACCAAAAATAAAACTTAGGGCATTGCATCGAACCAATGGCCTAAAAAAATAGAGGACTTGAATCAAATGATCCCAACGCGTGCCAAAATAGAAAATAAATTGGCGTAAGTTTCGCTCATTACTACTTTCATGTTGATCTAATTGAAAAAGATGAGTTGATTGAATATCACTAAATAAAAATTAATTGATTTTACTTTAATAAAATATTAATGATTTAATTCGTATAATTTACTACACAATATATAATATATGCAAGATAATTATCAAGAACTATTTGATGATACGGAAATTAAAATAAAATATAATAAACGAAACTAAACATGTTTTTATATTTTTGAAATGTATTTAATTAATGAAAATAACCCAACTGAAATTTAATGATTATATTTTTATATGTACGTGGTAGAGCCATGCTGCAGCTATATTAATAGTATAGTTGTAGCACGAATGGGTCGGCTCGAACGGGGAAGGACCACGCACAGAATACCAGTGTAAAATAGCAGAATTTTTAATAATTGCAGAATAAAGCTAGAAGATATTATTTACCTCTACTTAACCAATTTCTTTCAACTTGAAACCTTGACATAACGTATCCTATTAATTATTCCCACTTAATTCCACAATAAATCATGTCTTGACATGTTCAGACACGTACACGACAGGCAGATCACTACATAATGCTGAGGTTAATAAACAAGTTTTCTTACCTTGTT